AAAAAAAGTGCACAGGGTACATTCAAGTACTCAATGAGTACAATCCAAACCAACAAAAAAAAGTTAGATTTTTCAAACTTCGATGCCAACTTCACATAGCTCATAATTATTCTCAGTGTTTAAGGTATGACATAATCAAATTAATCAAAGAAATCAAATCAAAATAGAAATAAATAAGAAAATCCACCGGCAGGGAATGTCAAAGGATGAGAGAAAATTTTGTGATGGGTTCTGAGGAATCGATGAGAGATAATGAGATATTCCGTAGCTAATAAAACATTTCAAAGGCGTACCACGGAATGTATCGTCATATAACTTGTAGAACGTGAGGGAATTGTGAGTTGTGATGCCATCATTTTCGAATGACAAAGATTTCGCTCGCATGCAAGGCTATTGTAGAAATCGGGAGTTCAATTATTTTCTACAAAGCATTGATAACGAGCTCATTCATTGGAGCGTCTTGTCAATGACAATGGATTGATAGCAGTTCTATTATTCGAGGGAATCTTACAGAGAGATTCGGCTGTGGAGATATCATTTGTGTGAAGCTCAAACACCGATTGGAATTCAGTGAACAGATCACTAGGTGTTACTCCATTCGGAAATTAGGAAGTCGAAGATCAATCGGATTGGGAAATTAATCATTGTGTACAGCCAGGACAATCGGAACAGGGAAATTAATATTTTTAATTCACAGATTCTGATTGAATGATTTACTAGGGGGAATTAGCCTTGAAGCTGGGATAATTATGATTGAAGTCTCAATTACCCGCTGTTCTCCACTGCCTTCTGGGCGTATTCCACTTGGAAGACTCTGCCGTCGGGCGAAAACTGCGATGCTGAGAGATCGTACTGAAATGAGAATGAGAAATTCACATCTATTATTATAGCGGTGGAATTCAAAGAAATTGATTAATTCCTGTCAGTGAGATTCGTGAGGGAAGATAATTCTCGAATAATTATACGTCACTCGGGATTTTTCAGCGAAGAACTTTCGTTTCCTCATGTTGAGGAAGTACTCTTGATTGAATAATACTCATTAAGTGCATCTCCGTTCTGGTGAATTATAAAGGAAATTCCGCTTGCTTAGAAAATACAGAATATCAAGAAACGCGAGTGTGCGGAATAATAAATTTGTTTTATTCATTCAGGGAATCTGCTGGTAAGGGAATTGTGAAATGAGATGAGACAATGCCTTTGTGATTTCAGTTCCTCCTGGATAAAATTTTAGATGCGGAATTTTAAATGAAAGATCATGCAAAATTTTCACCTGCAGCTCCTGGGGCCTGGGTCGAGGGAATTTTTTTTTTTTTCATTTCTATAGGTTCCTCATTTTTCATTTTTATTTATATATATGAGGGGAATTAACGGGGAAGCGATCGTTGACTGATGAAAAAATCTCCTTTTACAAAAAATATTACTTTCCTCCCCCGAAAATCATAGATCACCCCCCGGGGGTGAGGGTGGAAAATTTTATTTCTCATTTTCGCCTTTTTGAGAGTTCCGACATCATCTCACAGGAAATTTTATTATCTTCTCGATTTTCTGATACTTTTTGTGAGACAATAATAATTGAATCCTCTGACGAATGCAGGTTAACTTGACAATTCTTCAACAGCAATACAATCCGTTAATTTCCACTCAAAGTGATTGTTTACCTAGGATTAAATATAAATAAATGCTACTTAAAATACTTACTCCAGTACCGATAGAACTCATTTTGCTCTAGTAATTATAAAAACCCGTGTTGAGTACCAAAAACACCGGAATCAGCGTGAATTAGCGAAAAATCAACCAGTCGAAATTTGTCAGTGGCTTTGGAGGTTAACTGACATCTCCAAGAGCTACAGAATTTCATCGGCAGATGTCCAACAGCTTCAGAGAATTCCTTTTTTACCTGACTCAAATTCTGACCAGATAAAAAAAATCAAAGGAAATAAATCCTCAATTTCTCATTAAGAAATTTTAATAAATAATCATATTCCAGGAATCCATACTCCAGAGGTAATTGAAAAATCATTGATAACTTGTCCCACTGTTTCCCAGACGAATTGGCTTAATTGTTAATGTTTTTATTGTTAAATAAACCACAAAAATGTACAGTAGTATTATATGGCTCGTCCGAGACTCGATTTTCATATCTTGTTATCATAGAACGGCCAACTCTCGTGTCAATACATTTATAATAATATGATGATATAATTGCTACAATTATCGTATAGTGTGTAATTCATATAATTATACATACATATACATATTCATATACATGTTTTCCTCACGTTATCATATATTACATACATATATGTATGTATATGCTCCTTCATTCTTGAATTTTTATTGAACTTCTCACGTAATCCTCACGTTTTCAAAATTTTTTTTAAATACTTCCCCTCATTTCTCACCCCTCGACGTTCATTAACACTCGAAAATTATTTCATTTCATCACACAACGCATCAACCACTCACACATCCGCAAAAAAAAATTATCGTTTACACTCAATTATCCCGTTCTATTCTTTATGCACCAGCGAAAGAAAATAAAATGAATTCTGTAATTTATCTTTTCTTCATAGACTTAAGTTTTTTTTTTCTTTACTGATTAGCATTATACGTCTAGTGTTTCACATCTTTCTCGTCTTTATTACCTTTCCTTAATCAATTTTCTTTATATCATTGTTGTCTGCCCCATGATTATAGTGCAGTGCAATGTATTAAACAATTTTTCTCTAGTATAGTACATTCACAAATAAAAATTACGAGGTTTTACACTGAAATTTATCTCGTACTTGCTCTCAGGGGCTGCCTCATTGAGGTCTTTTAATTATACTAGATTCATTTATGTTAATCGTGGGAGTGAGGATTAGTTGATTGATGAGTGGAGGAGGAAATAAGATGAATCAATTTGTTTTTAAATAAACTATTTTGAGAAATATTACAATAGTCCGCTGATGATTAATCAACGAATCTCATTTCACCTCTCCACCAGTGATTTTTAATGGCATGCATACCTCATGGGAATGACAATTTCATTTGAATTTTTTTTTTCCTCTCTTTTACTTTAGGGAAAGCCACTGCGTTAGAAAGCGCACAATTGCGTATGAGCTTTATTTTTTTTTTCACCTTTAAACGAAAATTTCATCATTTTAATTCCTCAGGTTGGAATTTATCAGAATGATTAATTTTTTTTTCCATAAAATGTTAATCATTCCTTGCGACTCGGTAATGAGCATTTAACGCACTCTGCACTGCGATTACACAAAACGGTAAACGTTGTTACGATTAAGAAATTGTATCCCTTATAAGCTGATGTTTTTCCAGACCTCGAGTATTTTTTTAATTCAATGCTTTTTGCAACAGGCACAATCGCCAAATGTACATGATTGAGATGTACCGTATAAACAATTTTTCGTATCAATATTTTGTTTTCTCTTTAATACAACGTTTTATATATATTTTTTAAATATTCTCTAGCTTTTTGGATTTATGAAAAAGTGAAAACTATGAAAGCGTGCTGTTTCTTGAATTACATTGCTCTCTAGAAGTGTGTAAAAACGCTCTCCGATAAATTTTTTTATTCTGGGGAAACGAAGCATTCATCCATTTTTGAAGATATTGAGGGATTTTTTTTTTTTTTCAATTTATTGTGAAAGCGAGTGCCCGAGGAATAATGTGTCAAATGGTTTTAGTTATTGCGGAAGATACGGTTTATTTAAATAAAGGATTGTTGGGAAGTCTTGCACTCCGACAGGAATTTTATTCATCATCAGACTAAAATCAAGATAATTCGCTACAGGGAGACGGGGAAAATCTCTTCTTCATTTTACTTACAGGAATTGTTTCTTTTACTGCGTGTCAGGGTGCAAGACGCAACATGTGGCTCTCACAATAATATTTTTAAACTCTGCTGATCATTCCAACTATCCTCTGGGCACAACAATCATCGGTAGTGAATTGGCAGAACAAGAGAGCCATTCAGGATCAATGAATAAATATTAATTCACTTCCCAAATTGTGTACAGTGTTGTTAAATATCAATTAATCTGAAAAATTACTAGTTTCACGAGAAAATGACAATTTCATTTTTTCCTTGAAGCAAATTTTGAAGATGAATTATCAATTTTTTGGAAAATTTTTATCGGGTGTTTGGGAATTCAAGGGCAATTTTCAATTTTTTCGTAGCCTTAATTGTCTACAAGGCCTCAGAAATAAATGGAATCATCTCGTTCCACCACTTCACTCCTTACTCCTCTCAACTCCACTCGCAACGGACAAATGTAGAATTGGGATGTGGATGGTGTCGTGCCTTCATCTCTTATTTGTACAGAATTCCAATTTCTTCATCTAATTAAATTGCATCGTCCTTTTATCTAACAGGGACAGAAAAAAAAAACTCAACTCGGCGATGTCGATCGACGAAAAAAGTCAAAGAATGAAAAAAAAGTCAAGTGAAAATGAAGTCTTCGGCAATTTGTAATAAATATTCACAGGGTGTCAAAACAAGAACAAAAACACCTCCGAGTTCCAAAAAATTCAGTTCTCTACCCCGAGAATTGGATGATATGTGTGAATGACGTGCCAGACAATTGTTCGAATTCAAAAAAAAAAAAAAACACCGACGAACCACGAATTATAGCAACTGGATGAGGGATTCCTATGAAAACAAACAAGAGAATAAATGAAAAGAAAAATCACTTATCAACTTACAACTGGTGTTATTACCATTAAATTTCATCGTCAATAATTAATATTTAAATATACAAATAATTAATGTTAAAGGCATTTATTTAATCGATCTAATTTCCTGCTGTTGACCACAACAGCCCATTATATACGTCCAGAAATTGAAAAAAAAAGAATGAAGAAAATATAACAATTATGCGAGGCAATGATATCGCACAAGTATGATACCCCCTGTGTACATCCTATTTCAGTCAGTAAAATAAGCATTTTTGTATCTTTTTACTTAAATAATTTCCACCAAATAAACGACACATCGAATCGCATCATTAAACTCTCTAATATTCCCTAATGATTCTTCACTATATATAAAAGGCCAATGGAGCATTAATCTAGGTACAACCTCTCCCTGAATTTATCCCTCCCTTCCCCCCCGCAAACCCTTCGTCACTACAACAAAATGTTTTACGTGAATATAAACATAAAACACTGGACAATTAGAAAAATAATCGCGACCTCCAGATTCTCACATTTATTACAAGAGAAAAGAAGAAAAAAATAATAATAAATCATAATAAAATGATAATTAAAATAATATTAATAATAATACACTCGACTATAACAGAATATTAATAGCGATTTGAACGTTGGTGGAAGCTGGGGCAATTATCCATGCTCTGGGGACAATAAATTGATAGATACTTCAGTATTTACGACAATTACCCACTTGTTCCAATTATCAAAACGTCCGGCACCCGTTCAAGAAGCTAAATTCGATAAAAAGACGATGCAAGCGAATCCTAACTCGCTACCACACATTGGTTTTCTCCATTAAATTTTTACGTTACATCTTTAACCAAGATCCTTAGGATATTAACCATCAGAGGCCTCCAGAACGAACCTGTTCTTTCTATTATATACACTGAATTCAACCCTTCGATCAACAGCTGAGATTGTCCGATGGGGTAATTTGAGGCAAAACTGATCGATTGCTGTCCCGACCGCAGTCCCAAATTCATTAGGATATCATCTAAATCATCATTTCGATTAGTTTTATGGACTCAGTCAGCTCCGATCTGGGGTGTTGAGTTCAATTTACAATGGGGCATTCTCGATGCAAAATGATAAATTTTATCTTTTCACTTTTTATTGGGAATTAAGTAATCGAAATGAGGAAACTAATGGTGTAGATATTTTGCGTTACTTTTTTTTTCGCTTTCTTTTTTTTTTCTTATGGGCCAGTTTAGGCCATGGTCGATTGATTAGGATCGGTGCTTTGTGTGACGGAGGGTGATGTCGTGTTGACGTTACTGTCGGTTGTGTTACCACTACCACCAGCAGCTGTACTCGTTGGCTCAGCTGTCGATTGTCCCTCGGTTGTTGTCTCTGATGTTTGCATGTATTTTGGGATTAATATTGAATTTAAATTTGGTTGGATACGTAACTCGTGTTCTGTGAAGTTAAATAGTGGTGGCAATTCACGTCCACTCGGTAGGAGAGTTCCTTGCTCTCGTAATTCGTTGAAGAATGGATGGGCACACGCTGCCAGGGGGGTTATTCGCAGGGGTGGTGTGTACTCCAGGAGTCGGGCAACAAGTTCCATTGCTTCTGGAGGTGTTCGGGCACGAAATACCTGGAGTTTAGATAGCTTAAATCAATTTTTTGGAGGTGGATTTGGCCCAGCAACATTGGGAGGAGATCCTCAGGAGATTATTCCACTGAATCATAACATATGTAAGAATTTATAAAAAAAAATATCAACATTTTTCTTGTCAGAGTTTTCGGAGGTCCTGTCGCGCTCTGGAAAAAAAAATTTCGTGAAAATTTCGTTATCTCCCTTCGATTCTGAGATATTCTCCGAAAATCCGAGGAAAGGGCAGATCGAGTGGTGACGGTTTTCTACTTTAGTACTCTCCTTTTTTTTTGAGGGCTCCGGGGGTGGGGAGTGGCTTTTATATTATTTTTTAAAATCCTCACGCTCAAGGATCAGTACAAAGAATTCCCTAGGATCTCCTCGGTATCGTCCATGGGTACAGCTAAATCCACTCAAATAATTGGAATGGTAATGATAAAATATGCATTGTATGAGGTCAAAGCCCAACAGCATCAAGTATAAAATTTCTGGTGAACTCTCTTGGATCATTGGTTGTCATTGTCTCATTTGAATTAATTAGAGTAAGTGATATTCTCTGCAAAGGCTCTCGGGTAAATCTTGCCATGAGAATGGAAATAAATCAAATGATAATCTTGTTAGTCGTGTTAAGCTAGTAAAAAACTGGATTTTTGTTCAAAAAATTCTGGTTCATTTCATAATAACCAAAAAAAAATAAATAAATAACGAAAATGATGAATTCAATAGTGAAGTGAACAGCTCATGTCTTCGACTGTCAGATTATTTTGAAAAACCAAAAAATTACCCACAAGTCGAATGGCAATCCCTTAATTTTACAACTTCACTATCGAATTGACGTTTGTCAGTTCGCGTTGGGGTAAAATGTAAAAAAATATAAAATATAAAAAAAAAATCGGAGTAATCGGAATATAAAAAAGGTAAACAGAGATAGAAAAATCCGAGACAGCAATTTGCAGCACATGTTCCAAGAGAAATCACTTACTCTAATTTTTTGGTGCTTTGTGGTACACTTTGCTGAGCTCATTCGTTGGAGCATACACTGTAATCACGAGAAGAATATGGAAATAGGTTGGACGAATGAGGGAAAATCGACGTGAAAATTATCTCCACTTTACGTCAGCTGTTGTGAATTTTTCAATGTGAGAATATGATCTGCAATAGAGCGGAGGCAGATGGATTCTGTTCTCATTAAGGGTGAAATAATGCAGACAATCTAATAATAACTGCACGGATAATTATCCACAAATTGCCCACAAAATCCACCTTACCCCATCGAATAAAAATGCCAAACCAAAACAAGATATACCTTTTGCCAGGGATGCGACTTTATCTGTGGAAACTTGAATTCCGTGTAATTGGGATTCATTTCTCTTATCTGATCACGTGTCGGTGTACCGAGTACTTTGATAATTTCAACGAGCTGATCGACACCACTGTCTCCAGGGAATATCGGCTGACCGAGTAACAACTCAGCCAGTACACAGCCAGCGCTCCACACATCTAGACCAATCAATATTTCATAAATAAATGATTATCCAACGAATGAGTTAACTTATCTTACCAATTTTCGTGGTGTAATCGATTGCACCGAAGATTAATTCAGGCGCCCGATAGTAACGACTGCATATGTAAGATACATTTGGTTCACCACGAATCAGATGTTTGGCTGATCCAAAGTCGCATAGCTTGAGAACACCAGTCTCTGGATCCAGTAGAAGATTCTGCGGTTTAATGTCCCTGTGACAGATGCCCAGCGAATGAATGTACGCCAGAGAACGGAACAGTTGGTACATGTATAACTGAAATGCCAAATAACTTGATTAGTTGTCAATTACATCCGGGTAATCGTCAATTATTTTTATTGAATTTTTAATTGCAAGTGTTTCGAGAGGGAAATCATTGCTTGGATTATTTTTCTCTGAAGGATTACAATCAGGGACTAAAATGGATGGGAGAATATATTTTTTATTCCACCAGTAAACTCCATAATTGCATTATCTAAATTTAAACACCATGGAAAAATATCTGGTACCCTTCACTGGGCCTTGAGTACTTTCTGGTTATTTATATTCTCTGAAAAAGAACCCCGATGATGATGAAACATGATAAATTGTTCTGGGAATTGTCGGAATACTCACTTTGATGAAACTCATCGGTATCGTCTGCTTGCTCTTGCTGTAGTGCCGTGCAACTTTGTACACCGTCTCAGGTATGTATTCCAGCACGAGGTTGAGATACACTTCATCCTTCTAAAAAAAAAATCAATTCCCCGGAAAGAAAGAATGACAATTAGTGATGACATTTCCGGCAATTGATCAAAGAATTCAGCAGTGAAGCCTCTGAAGATTTTTCACATGAGTAAATATTGAATTATCTCCGTAATGAGGAACTCCAGATAAAAAAGTCACAAGAATTTTTTTATTGGTAATTTTTTCAGCTTTGAAAAAGACCTCTGATGTTTTCGCCTGAAACCTCGAGTATCCCAGTTAAACGGACAGTCAAGAGAGAATGTCAATTTTAATTACAACAAGTTGACTCTGCATGCATTATGAAATACCCAATTACCCTTCTAATGAGTCATTTCAGAGGAAAAAGTGACTGGAAATTTATCCTGGAAATTTCATCATTTACTAAAATGCTCCAATAAATTTTTCTCCTAAACTCCCTCGTCTCCGAGATAATTAAACATTAATTAGAGAATATTCAAGTTGACAGAAACAAACTGCTCTTCCGAAGCTTTTTTAATACGCAATTATCTCGGCAACGAGATGTTTCAGAACAAAAAGTAAGAGGAAATTGTTTACTGGAAATTTCATCAGCCACGAAAAAATTCCATACTATTTCCACCTGAAACGCTTCATTCTCGAGATAACTCAAGGCTCACCGACAAAATCACGGACTCATCTCCATTCATCACTCCACTACTGAATCATCCAACTGCATTACGATGAGGAAAATGTGATATATTTCTGATCCTATGATCGCGATTAATCCTCGAACCAACTAGGACTATCACTGAATTCTACCAAAGCCTACAACCTGATCACTCATCTCGTCCCAATTCCACTCTCTCTTCATCAATGAGTAAAACGGATACTTCAGTTTCCGTTAAAACCCCGAGCAATTGTCTGTAAAAATTATTCTCTCCCCTCCATTATCTTTTATCACCCCAGAAATAATTCCTCCAGAATTTTCCGAAAAGAAATCTGACTTGCGAATATTAAAAAAAATGCCTGGAGTATCCATTTTGCCCCACCCTTTCCTGGAATAAAGCAGTACCTGAGCTTTCTCTACTTCCTCCATCACAGCAATAAACAAATCAAGCGGATGATTCTGCATTAAAGGGAATGAGTAAAATTCACTCATAAAAATGTTTAAAAAACCGAAAAAATGGTAGCACTGGATACGTCTCCAACTTACGGACACATGAAAAACTGCATTAGTCGCATTTAAGATATTCTACGAAAGGACAAAACAATAGTGCATGCATTAATTTAACAGTTTCGTAACAATTTATCTTTCGTTTTCACTAAAACCTACGGATCAATTGCAACGAGTGCTAGATAATCCACGCGAAACCAATAATCGACGTGCATGGGAGTAGACAGATTTCAATTGATCATTCACGTATTGACGGTTATAATAGGCCATAGATCATTCGAGAGTTAACGATTTTATCTGGTACAAACAGACGAGAAAAATACTGAAAATCGGATTTTTATCAATATTTCGTTTCTAGCTCCAGAATTTAAAAAGGAATTGTTGAAAAATTCTCTTCGAATGATCGAGTTTAATCCGCCCATCGAATTGTAAACGTGTTTTGCGTAGGTAATAATTGGATTAATGTGATCGAATTACCTTATCACCGCTCGAGTAGAAGAAGTATTTGAGTTTTACGATGTTACAGTGCTCAAGTCGCCGCATTATTTGGAGTTCTCTGTTCTGAAATAGTTAATAAAATATGACATCATATTTTCAATCTTTCAAATAGCTTAGTAAACACGAAAAGGAGGTTCTTATCAGTTCTGAGTTATATGAGTTAAATTATTCAAATTATAGGCTGAGAAAATTTATTATAAAGAGATCAATAAATAGATATATTGGTTCTGATTTTGGGATATTTCGAATTTTAATTGCGAGGTGTGGGAACACAAACCTTGAACCTCTTATCCTGAAGAACTTTTTTAATCGCCACCATCTCCCCAGTGTCACACAGTTTGGCTTGATAAACAACCCCGAAGCTGCCATTGCCAATGACTTTAGTATCCGTGTATGCAACTTCCTGTGGATGATCTGGTCTAGCACCTGGTGTCGCCACAACAGTTGTCACTTTGCTTCCATCCCTACCTGCAGTGTACATGGTACCACCCATAGAAAATAATGTTCAAAATACAAACCACGGAGAGAAATTCATGAGAAAAATTCGAGTTATGATACTGGGCCATTTTATTGCGGAAAAACCTGAGTTATTCCACGCATTCCTGGAAAAAATTTCACACACATTCCAGATATTTTTCCAGAATTCTCTATCCAAAAATTTTCCCGGCACTTCAACCAGAATTTTTCACGAAAATTTCTTCCTTGTCTTTTTTGGAAACGACCGAGAAAAATTTTCAGTTTCCCCTGATTTCATCGGTACACAGGAAAGTCAGGAATTCAGGAGGCGAGAATTCCCTTGAATTCCAAAAAAATTGTATCGGAAATTACAGTGACAAATTTTCCAAGAGTGAAAGACTGACGTGTACCAGGGAAAAAATGTTTTTCCTTCCCCTTCATCAAATCACACTGGACATGCGGAAGAAAGTAATGGTAACTCCAGGGTATACGTGACCAATAGCAATAAAATATACCACGGAGTATATGGATCGATAAATAATGGGATCAATGTGGGATAAAATTGGTGAATCAAATGACCCAGTCCACGCATTCAAAGTGCGTAAATTCGCGATGGGTAAATCGATTTGAATTTAATTATCATAATAATCAGGTACGATGAGACGTTGGATTTTTAGACAGTCGTCAAGTGGATTGTAAAATAAGTAAATGCGCTGGCGCGAGCGCGGGCGCACCGCGGGTTTCATTCCTGATAACTACAAAAAATTAAAATGTCTAAGGGACTCAAAATTCCAGACAATCCAAAAATCAAGATAACAATAAATTAATGGTACAGCCAGTGCTATTTTATTCCACCGATATGACGAGTCGATCGGATTCAGTTGCAGATGCAGTTCTCTGTGATTATTTTTCCGGATTGATAAGGAATAATTGATTCTCGAATGATAAAACCGCTGAGACACTGGCCAATCCATTGATACGAAATGAAGATACAGCCAATGAACTGCGTCGATGTGCACTCAAAAATAAAAAGATTTATTTATAAAGTGTTGTAAGAGTTAAATGACGTGACGTTGGCGCACCAGTTCAGGGACGTGGGTTTGTCCAAGGGGTATGAGTGGGGGTTTATAACTCATATGCAACTCAGGATTATTATGAATTTCAATAAAAAAAAGTATGACGAAAGCCACACGATATTTTGCACGATTTTTTTTGCAGAACTCCCGGACCGTTTTTCCTCTCAGCAGATGAATTGGATGAATAAAAAGATCAAATGAAAATCAAAATCAAATCAGTCCTGAATGACCGAGAATTCATTGAAATTCATCAATCTGCGAGAGATTTTTCCTGTAATCTCCAGGAGTTCAAGAGCTCAAAAAAAAAATATCAAAGTATCTGCCCTGTTCCCAACCTAATGACGCCACCGAAATTTCGTGAGGACCTTTTTTGTGGCTCTCAGCAAGATCTACAAAAAATGTCCCAACGAGCATGGCGCTATCTTCCTTGGTTCCTCAGATATTCCCAAGAATCTCTCCACTCTCCATAAACTCTCCCTCTGCCCCGAAATTCCTCCATATCCCCGTGCTACTAAAAAATTCTAGGTTAGAAAATGATGGACTACTCACTGCTGATCTTCATGCCACCCAGGGGCGGATTAGCTGGGGGCTTGGTGCCCTCGGCGAAGGAAGTGGTCCTCGGACGACCGCTCATTATGACTCCTCCACCTCCACCTTATCCGCCACCGCCTGCACCGCCACCTCCTGCCCTCAAAACTCACCCCCAAATCCCACAAAAAAAAATATATATATAATAAAACCCCTGTCGCCTCACCCCACAACAGTATCACCTAGCCTCACTCCCAAAAAAAATTCCCCACACCCTCTAAAACTCAACAATTAGCTCTCCACCCTCCACTAAACGTCACGAATCATCAATGACAACCAATATCACATCGCACCAAAGACTCAATTAACGCCTGTCCCTTGGCACGCTCCAAACTCAGTCGGTAATCCCCAAAATAAAATCCCCGACAGCCAAAGCTGAACGAGTAAAAAAAAGGATTATCAAAATAATTCCCCTCAATCAGCGTCTCAGGCACTCCACAAACTCCAGGGAATTCGGGGACTCCAGGTACTCCAATCACTCCAAAGACTTCTGGAAATCCCAAGACTCCAGGAACTTCAGGGATTTCTTGGACTTGTGGGGCTTTCGGGACTTCCGGGACTTGAGGTCCACGTCCCCTCACTACCAATCCTCTCCCGTAATTCTCACCACCAAAGACAATCCCTCGTTAACCCCCAGGTCAACAATTCTTCCCCCAGACGTTGGTGCAACGATGCGTCCCACTTCCTCGTCGTGTCTGTTAAATCCTCACTCTATCTAACCCCTCACAAATCACCATTCATCCACCCACCACTGAATTCACCTGTAAATCCCTCGACGAGGCCCAAATAACCGAGGAGTTCTCCTCTTTTTTTTCCTCTCGTTTTCTTTTTTTCTCGGGGATTGAGAAAAAAAAAATGAGGAGTTGGAGCGGACGTTTTTAGAACGACCAGTAGTAACACGAGGCGCGCACGGGCAAAACGACACGACGAATTATATAGTAACACCAGTCGACGATCTTTCTGTTCACCAAGATATTATTCGAATTATCCGTAATTCAAGGAGCCGTCGTACACTAGGGGATGGTTATCACGCACTTCCGGGGGCGGCTGGTTTTTTTCAGGATTTTTTTTTTTCAGTTTTTGTATGGCCCGGGGGAGCAAGGGGGGAAAATGGAAAATGGGTTTGGGGATCAGTGGGGATTTCGGGATGTGGCCGAATGATACGTTGCGCACACCATTTTCCCGCGGGGGCGACCAGCCTCTCACGGCGTTGACGACGTACGTGTGGGCGGCGTCACGAAAATCACGAAAATCACGTATCCGTTGTATCGGGATCCAGCGGGAGTGCGCGGGGCTTCACGGCTTTTTTTTTTCTAGGCACTTTTTCTCAACCCTTTTTGTCCAGCTTTTTTTTTGCACAATCTGGTTGGATGATTTTCACTGCACTCACTCGAACGGTGATAATGAGGTTTTTACGTGGGATTGAGGGACTTTTTTATTATTTTTATTCTGGGTCCTTTAATTTGGGTTGATTCCTCTACGGGAACACCAGCACACCGCAGGCCACAGATTTTTCCGATGCCTCCGCTCCTCAGACATTGACCCGTTCGGGAGAGATCGGTGGAATCGAGGGGAGGCGGAAGTGCACGAGGGTGACGTCAAACTCACCACCACACCTATCCCCCTTTGCCTTTCCAGGGCCTCCTCCACCAATGGGAAATCTTTGGGGGAGAATGAGGGGTGGAGGTGAGATCAGAGGGCGCACCTACCGCGTCTTCTTCGGGTATTTTCGAGGTGGGGGGTTTCACTGGCTGATGGCAAAGTATTTTTTCAAAATATTATTTCTAATCTCAACGTCAGATGGCTGAGCGGCAGACACCCCCTCCCCATCGCGTTTGGCGCCCTCCCTCTCTTGGGGTGCAGTACTACGATGCCGCTGCAATCACTCAAACCCCCAGAACTCAGCCTCTACTTTAGTCAATCCTCTTTGTTCCTCATTTCCATTTGCTCATCGAAAAGGCGGATTGAAGCAGATGGAAAGAGTGAGAGCAGTGAGAGAGAATGCATTTTACACACGTATTTGCATTGCACGGATTATTTTTTGAATAAGTATGCGCGCTATCAACGCACCGATTGTTGGAATCAAGTGTCGTGCGTTAACATTTTCAAATAAATTTGTGAAATAATAGCCAAAGTATCAAGTACACCTGTATCACCTGTCAACTTTATCGGACGAGAGTGCAGGTTAATTAGAGAGAAGTTGAAAGAATCCCCAGTCACGTCTTGCGTCCAACGGTGGGTCGTATTTTCATTTTTTTTTTTCTTCAATTCTAAATTCTATTTTTAGCAAATATTTCATAATGCCGACTTAAATATTGTCAGGTCCTCCCGGCTATGTGCGTAACAAACTGTCGGGGGGAATTATATTAATGAAGAATGTTCTTGAATTTTCGATTACGTTATGTATTTGTGATTTTGTGGATGTATGATAATGTCACATAAATGAATTGACGTATTTACCACCGAGCCATTACAATCCTGGGTATGTAAAAGAGTATTTGCATAATGAGAAAATTACACGGCGAAAGTCATTTGGAAATCCTTCAAATTAACAGCTCAAACTTTTTTCAAATTATCCGATAAAATCGGAAAAACACGTGACAAAATGAAAAATTAACGGTGATTTTTTTTTTCTTCCGGAGAAGGAAGACTAGACAACAGCAGAAGGGCTCGCTGGGTTGAACACTTTGGGAGGCGAACTATTTTTAGATTTCTCAAATATGTACTTCATAGTTAGAGCTGAATAAGTGCAGTACAAACTTGCACTGGGAAATCTTATTTTCTGTGTTGGTTACTTTGAAGTGTAATGTTTTCAGTGAATAATGGATAGTGAACAGCATCACTATGAACTGAGGAGTAGGAGTAGATCAAGGTCACACACTCCGATGATCTTCAATCAGTTAATGACAGGATCTGAATCGTCAGAACACCATTATGACTTGAGGAGGCGAGAGAGTAGAGAGAGATCGCATACACCCGGTGAAGTTACCAGCAGCAGACGATCCGGATCGAGATCTCTGCCTGGTAGCAATCTGAAATCACGAGATAAATCCATGGAAAAAATTTCGGAGACTCATGACGAAGTACAAGCAGAGAGAGTTCTGGAGAAAGAAAATTCGGTTCCTCCAAGCACCATTAAAAAAGTTGAACGACGCTCTGAGAGGCAGAGGGTGAAAAGACAATTACTGACAAATGGCCAGGGCGAGGCCAGAGAACGACAATCACCCGACAAAAATGATGAGAAGCGCAAGAGTATGACACCAAAAAGGACCATAACTAGTGATTATTCTTCGGAGGAGGGAGAGCGAGAAGAACTACCAAATCGATCAGCTTCTGCTTACGAAATATATAAACAGGCTGGTGATTATTGGAAGTAAGTGGTTGTTATTTATGATATTTATTTTCCAGTTTGTCCATCCTTGTTTTCATTCTGTCAGTGTTTATATGAATCATTGAGTCTGCGATTGACCTCGGTGGTTTTAAACATAGTATAGGTAATCGTTGAGAAATTTAATCCTTCAACCACACCTTTGCTGATCTAATAACCACTCAATGATAAAACGTCCATTATTTCAGTCTTACGCAATAAATTATTTTGATAAATAACCATTGAGGAGAAATTATGAGAGATATTATTCATGTGAAATTTATCCATCATATTCAAATTGCAAATGAATTACAGTGTCTTCCCAAAAACGGATTATACGTACTCACAGGCGTCACAATGCCGATATGAAATTGCCCCCGGTATTTTGGCAATGCCCAATATGTCAAGACCATCGATACACTCGGATGGCAGTAGTACTGGTAGTACATTGTCCCTCAGTCAACAAACAATCAGTCAAACGTCCTCTGGTACAAGGCAAAGACACTCACATTCTTTGGACGGTGAAATTAATGAATCTATCGAACAAAATCGATTGAATGAAGAAAATGCGAGATTATTCGCTGCTACAATGAACAGCGACATGGCTTCGGCTGCTGGTTACAAACAAGTGCATGTGGAACAATTCACAAGAAGACGTGTCTTTTATGAAGAGTCTGGCAGTGGTAGAAAATTTAATAGACTACTCTCACAAGTTGATTCTGACGGTGAATTTGATGATGATATCAGGACGAAATATGCGATACGTGGGGAACGTAGGAGAGTGAGAAAGTGGTATGAGAGTATCAAGAGTTTTATAGCTCTTTTCTTCCTCAGTGCCGTTGAATTAGTCAGAGTGAAAATATTCAGGAGGGAAACAACTTTTAACACTAGTCAAGGATATTATCAGTGTGGAGGTGATATTTTTTTTTCTAGAATATGATTTTCTAAATTTTCATTAAGGAATTTAAAAAACACTGAAATGGAATAAATTGGTTTAATCTCTTCCAGTTTCAGAATCAAAATGGAGAAAGTTGTGGTATCAAATTGATCACTACTTGCAGTACTTATACTTGTGGTTGATAAGAATACTTTACCTCGATACATGGATACTGAGTCGGTTCTCTAGGATTCGAGAACGTATTGTAGCACGTCCATCACGGCTACTCTGGTTAATAATCTTACCGCCTATTCTTTTCGCTGGTGAGTCATTAAAACTTCATTCAAGTTATGGTGAATAGAAATTAATGGGCCATCACTCTAGCTCCCTCGCTGACGACTGCTGTTGTACCTTGAAATATTAAAAAAACTCTTAGAACTCTGTCTACCAATCAAACGTCAATTATTCTGGAGTGACCGGTAAACCGTAGCCTGGCCTTCCTCTTCTTTTTGTTTCAGGAGTTTACGTCGCGCTAAAGCATTCGTTAACCTGTATGGAGACACTACAGAAAGTACAGAAAGATGTCACTGAGACAACCTATCACATCTATGATGATGTCATTAACGTTCATTTTATCGATGATTATGGATTTATCGCGAAATACATCGCGAATTTTCCAAATTTTTCAATTTTACCTACATTTTTTCTAAACATTACATTACCTTGGCTTTAATAGCTATTTTTTTTTTCTCTTAGACTAAACTAGACCATTCAAAAATATCTCAAGAGGGTAACGTCTCGCAGTATTTTTCCTGAAGATGAAAATTATTTTTCATGTTTTTTACCATGATTTTCATCCTTCTAATCGAGCTTTCGTTTTGATTTGTGATTAACCCCGCGTGTTGCTAATTTTTTTTTCTTTTTAGTTTGACTTTTAGGTGATGCACTAATTTCAAAAATTTCAAAACGCAACAAATCGAATTTACAATCTTTGGTTTTTTTTATTTAAATATTTTGAAAAAAATTGAGAGGAAGATTTTCGATTCTTCTGATCTTCAAAGATATTTAACAAAACTTCAACAGAAAGTTTAGTTGTCTCATTTCAATTGACAACTTCATTAGAGAGTTAATTAACTCAATTTAGCGAGTCTAGTCCTGCAGGAGTAAATCATATAAAGAGTTGTTGCCAAATAATTTCAAAGAGATACAACGCTATATTCGTTGGGATTAACAAAACTAATATATTGTGTGGCTTTATACTTGATATTTTCATTTGTTCCCTAATCATCAATTACTAAAATTATAATTATAATTGTTCGATAATGGGTGATTGCTGATAATAATATTAATAATATGGAAATCATACGAGGGATTTGAATAAGAGAGCAGGAATATTTTTCCTGGTGGAGGACTATTTTTGAATGCGCAAATTATATTCTGAATCAAAAATTAATGCATATAAATGTATCCAATGTTTCCTGTTAAATTTTTCTAATAAAATGAATAAATATGGAATTTCACAAATTGGGAGCATGCAATTGAAGGCAGCAACTGGCCCCCACCCTAAAAATTAAATTATAAATATTTCGATATTTTGAATGCTATGGGAGAAGGATAGAAGGAGGTAAAACTCAGCTGGTGATGTTAATTGGAGATTAAAAGCTTCAGTGGTGCACGCATGATTGTGAAGTCATCCAAACGGTGAGTTCCTTGGTCTATCCTTCTCTCAGTTACCGAATGGATATTTTTTTCTCTGGCACTACACTGATATGATCTCTAATATTACATCATTGATTGACTATGTAATAATTATAAATAATTATGAAAAAGGTCAAATCAGGGTAATGCAGTGTGCGGTAACCGGAGAAGGAGAAGGAGAAGGAGAAATAAAAATAGAAGGAGAATGAGAAAGAGATTGTGACAACTATTACTATTTATTCCACTTAATAAAATTATGTAATTTCAGGTTTTTGGCTGCTTCCCTATGCTCAGAGCTTGAAATTCCCACAATTTAGCATCAATGTGCCAGAGGAAGTGGCCAAGACACCGTTTGTGCCAGTGGAATCAAATGAAAGGCTTTTCAATGAGGAGATACGAAACACCATTGCCCTCTTGATTGATCGAGTAGAGAAACTTGAGGGGGCGGGACATGGTCAAGGGGTGAGATAAACTTCAATTGTAATTTTAGTTAAGAATTTTAATGATGAATTTATTGATTTATTTCATTTGAACAGAGACAATTGAAAAATATCACAGATACTATTGAGATATTGAGAGAGGGAGAAAAGTCTGTTTGGAGTCTTTATGATGTGAGTAAAATATTCAATAGGTATTTTAATTGCTTGAACTATGCAGTGAGAAAATATTTGAAATTTCACTGACAGATGCATTTAAATTTTCATTATTGGGAAAGTGAATTCAATTTCTGAATTCGGTTGATAAATTATGACTTAAAAAAAATGCTCCTTTATCTGTCAGGAAAAACTCTCAAATGTGGAACGAAAAATAATCGACAATAAACCTGATGGAACCACTGAGAACGAGATAAAAAATATAAAACTAGAATTTGAGAATCTCCGACAACTCTACGCACAACAAAAGACTTGCTGTGATAAGCCAACACAATCAATCACCAATAACGAAATCGAGAAAAGGGTGGAGGAAATAGTGATCTCGTATTTCGACACAGAGGTATTCAAATCCGAGATAATAAAAATAGTGGAGGAGACAATAAAAATGAGAACTCTTGCTGAAACGGAATCACAAGTGATGGATGAATCGTCAACAGTGGATTATCCACAATCTCAATCAATTTCAGTCAGCGATGACTACATTCGCTCAATTGTCAAGGAAATATTGAAAATTTACGATGCAGATAAGACAGGGCGAGTGGATTACGCCCTGGAGTCAGCAGGTGGCCAAATAATCAGTATTCGCTGCACTCAGCGTCACAATGTCAATACAAGAGCGTATAAAGTTCTGGGATTCACTTTGTATTATGAGAGTGGAGATCCTAGAACAGTGATTCAGGGCCATCCACTCCAGCCAGGGGTCTGTTGGGCGTTCCAGGATTTTCCGGGTTATCTCCTGATAAAGGTACGAGCCCCAATCAGAGTCAGTGGATTCACCCTGGAGCATGCCCCCAGGTCGATACTTCCAAACAATGAAATGAAGAGTGCACCCAGAAGATTCAACGTGTGGGGATTGAAAGAGGAGAATGACCCAGCCCCAATATCATTCGGAGAGTACGAATTTCTCGATAATGATGACAGCCTCCAATACTTTCCTGTTCACAATCATGATATCAATGACGCCTATGAGTATATTGAATTAAAAATTCATAGTAATCATGGGCAACTTGAGTACACGTGTTTGTATAGGTTCAGAATCCATGGAATACCGGTTTAGATGAACTTTACTAGTGGATCAACAATGAACAGCGCTCACCAAAAGTATTTTCTTTTCTTTTTTTTCTTTTAGATCATGCTGTGTACAATAATGCAATAGAGTTGAGGAGTGGTAAACTGCAGAATATGTGACAATTTTTATAGAAAAGGTTTGAATTTTTTTTTCCTGCTAAAATAATTACCCAATGAAGAAAGAGTTCAATCAATATAATATTTGGCAATTTTTCATATTATCATTTTCTTAAAAAAAAATTCCCGTAAATATTCTTTCGAAATTAAGGATATTATTATTATTAATGCGAGTGTAATTTGAGGAGTAATCATTTACCATAGATTATGCCTTCTCCACTGAGTAAACTCACACGTGCCTTTGAACAAAGTAATTATACTAATAATGCCATAATCGTTGTCAATATAATATAGCCCATAATTCTGTAGAGATCGCATCACTTTTTTATGAATTAGGAGATTGTACAATTTATCAGCGCAAGCGCAACATTTGTTTTTATATCAAAAGAATGTGTATGGTGTTGAAAACACGAACTGAAGTTATATCAGCAATTACCCAAAGCTCTGTAAATTGTAATTACACACAAAGTACAAATTATTCATGAAGAAAAATGAGTTTTAGAGTAATAAGGTAATTTTGCTGAGTTTTTTTCCAGTAAGATTCGATGAAATCACGCTTTATTTTTTTTTTTAATGTTGTTTTGACGTTGGTGTAACTTTAAGAATAGGGGATTGACGTGAATTGGAGGTTTTAAAAGATGAGACTTTGATGACAGAACCCGGTGAATTAAATTTTTTCCCTTTCTCCATCTTTTTGGATCTTCATATCAATGAATAAACTGGAACAGATACTTTTGATACATTCAAACTCTTCCCACATTTTTATTTGAAATTTAAATGATAACTGAAATATTTTGTGTTGTGTATATGATTTATTGAATAATGCACTGGTCTCGTGCATCTGATTTTGTTTTAAGTGGCTTCGTGATAATGCTTATTTCTTTTCTCTCGTGTTTTGTATAGAACAAACTCTGAACATTATGCTTGCCGACTTTTGTTATGAGTGTTTTAATCAGAAAGTGGATCTGAGTCAAGATATGTTAGGTATAATGGTCTAGTCGTTGACTGGATTGAGCAGAATATCATTGCGGCTGACGGTACTTAATCCTTAAACGGATTGACGGAGAAGTTGTACCGTCAAAATCTTGACATTTTCTAATTTGGAGTAAATTTTTGTCTTGTCGATTTCATGTATGCCGTTTGCACGTAGGAGTCTCAAGTTTTGTCAATAATAAAAAATTATCAATCAATCAAATTGTCGACTATTTCACTATTTTACTTACTTGTTTATTTTCAATGGAGCTATGCAACTGAATTTTGAAATAATTATTTTTCTGTTTATCGAAATTCTCGATAGCGTAATGCAGGTTATGATTTGATACACTGACAATGCACGCACCATGAAATTCAAATAATAAAATGTGATTTTTCAGTTTTTTTAAAATATTTCAGTAGAAGTAATAATGAGAATATTGTGGAGAATAATTTTATAGTAAAAAGATTTTCCGACAAGGCGGAAAGGCGCGAAGGCGGAAAGGCGCGAAGGCGGGAAGGCGGGAAGGCGGGAAGGCGGAAAGGCCCGAAGTCGCGAAGGCGGGAAACGGCAAGCTTCGGGAAAATCCGAGTGGCGTCGAATGCGCGTATACATGGATTTGCATTGCAGTATACATACGGGAGTCGTGTCGTGGTGTAACACGGGGGGACGGATGTGGGAATGTAGTCTGAAATGGTGAAATAGTGCAATAGTGCTTGTCTGTGCCATCAACAAAGGTCATTAGTGCAGTGTTATCTGTGTTATGTGGTGAATTTGGATTGTCAAGCTCGCAATATCGTTGAAGTAACTGTTCGGTGAGTCGAGAATTAAAATTATACATCAAATCAATTGTCAATCCCTCGCGTCCTTGGGAGTGTAACCTCCTACCATCGTAAATATTTCATCGAAAAAAAGAAGGAAATAGGAAACACGCAACATTATCTAACCCCAATTACTGATAATGGCGATTATTCATTTTCATATTCACATGCCAATTCTGCGTAATAGGGTGTCATTGATTGCACAGATAAATTTCTTGCTGCTCTGGCACGCTGGGAAAAAGGCGGGAAATAGCAAAGGCTTTGAAATTTTGAATTCAACTATTTCGATTGCCATCCACTTCGACTCGATGTCTCCACATTCGGATGTTAGAGTTCATACCAGATATTATAGTTGGTATATTAAAAGATATTAGCGGTTGCGAGGGACAAAAAAATTTCCGCGTTTTCGGCAATTCTCAATCGTTTAAAGATACATTTGCGAGGCGCTTCTTCGTCAATTTTTTTCCTCATATAAAAAGGAGATCATAATGGCTACCGCTCATAAATCGAATTGAAGAAAGTCGGAAGAAATCAAAATGGCTGATGCGAGAGTATCGAATCCGAGATTATAGAGGAGAAAATTTCCATCGTTAAATATTGAAGAAAAATGATTTTTCATCTCTGAAAAAATTCACCATTGGTCGGATTATCTGGTTGGTTGACTGATTACGTAGCTATCGGGGCGGCGCTAGTAGTATAAAAGAAATGGGTCACCAATCGAACATGACGGATCTCCTGGGGATAATCGATTATCTGACACTCGGTATCCATTAATCGAATAGATAACTGACCATCACATCAGCTGTGACATGGCGGAGAGCATGTAAAAAGGGTCATGGGCGGTTAGGCGAAGGATGCGTTCTCATGTGACATTTATGACGGCGGGGGTATGCGTATTTGAGTCGATTTGCAAATGAAAAATTGACATCAGACATTCACTTCTAGAAATTATTTCAAGAATTGGTTTTTCTGTCTACGTCAATAGTAAACTATCGGAGTAATAGTGGGAAAAGGATTAGGATTTTTCGAGGCTCCATCAATTATTAAGAATGACGAAAACTAACTGAATAAATGCTCTAATGAAATTTACATTCATCCATTTATTCACGCAAACAAGAATAGATTTAGATATCCGTCTTTAATATACGCATATATATGCATATGGATCATATGACCGTAGTAGATTACATTATATATGTTTTTTATATAATATAATTTTACATTATCGAGTAGGATACGTTTTTCCATCTACGCAGACCTTTTTTATTATGATTATTTTTTTTTTATTTTAGATTCTCCATTGAGAACTTGCCGATTAGCTAATTTTGGGTTATAATTACCATTTTTTTTTTCATGACAAGTTTTGATGAAAGGATATTACGAAAGCAATTGAGAATTTATTTTTTTTTGCTCTTGTACAAATAAATGGAATTGGAATATTCGGCATAAATTGACGATATCGCGTCTATGTAAAAATAAGTAAATAATTTTCTGCCACTTCATTCGAATGAGCTTTCTTTCGTCATCTGTAAAATCTCGTTATTCGCATCCACTCGTACGTGCGTATATAATCGTCGTGAGTCTCTTACATAATAAAAGTTTCATAAATTAAAAATAATACATTTTTCATTTTTTCTTCGTTTCTCAATTTACATTTCACTAAACGAAATAAGCGCAACATCAGCACATAATCTCTTGGTCCGCGAGCATCGACATTTTTTTTCACCTATCTCCATTCATTGTGATTTTACAATCTTAATTAATATTGTCATTATGCAAAACAAAAAAAAACATAAATGCCACGTCATTAATCATACAAGTTTTTCATTAAAAATGACTGAGTCTCATCGCGATCAAAATGCAGTGATCACAATCGGAATGATAAATGATGAATTAATTCTATGAGGTTACACATCTCGAAGATGACAAAAAAAATGATTAGAGATGAGAATTATTGAGTTCTCTTGTTATTAAAAAAAAAAAAGGTGGGAATGAGAAAATCGAAACTGCGGAATGATGATAGCGAGATTAGGCGACGAAGGTGAAATGAATTCAAGGGATAAAGATTCGTACAAAAAGAGAAAAGAAAAAAAAAATAATAAGATAAATAGAACAGGTATAAATACTGATTTTGGGAATGTTATTCGATCACCCGCGACCGTTTCTAATGCTCATCAACTTGTCCTCTCTCTTCATCTCTATTCAAATAAAAATCCTACGAGTTGATGAAATTTTTAATAATCCGCTCAGCGTTAAACGTGTAGAATAATAATAAATAAATACTAAAACGTAAATGAGCTCGTCATGAGATTGTTTTTTCCATTTTTTGCTTTCACATTTTGTTTTCATCTTCTGCTCTAATAATTCCAATAATAATAACAACAATAATATAATGATATTAGAGGCTAGCTATGATAAAATTAAGCATAATTTTAATAATACATTTAATGAAAGAAAAATCGTAATACTCCGAAATATTTTAAAAAATATTCTCTATATATTCGCAACAACCCGTGCTATCGGCAAATTTACATTGTAAATCAGTCGACTTTTATCATTTTTCATTCCATCATCATGCGGATGGGACTTGATCGGCCGTTCAGTTAGATGAGAAATTCATACCGCGTGGATAATTACGATTAACTTAATAATGGATGAAATTATAATGATAATCATTATCATGGGCTATGGACATACGCACGCTCGACAATGAATATTATTGGGTTTTCGTCACGTCAGTAGGAAAAAATAGTCAAACAAATAAAAACAAGTCACTGGACTGTGAAACATTTAGTAAAAATTACTCAAATGTATTTTCCAGCAAGAGCTATAACATCTGACTTGACTTCACCCTTCCTTGGTTTTACGGCTCAACAACTGAAATGACGTCTTAAACCAATCATGCCTGTTCGTAATGCTTCTATTCAATGATTTCTCCTGTCCCCAATATTGGATGCAGTAGTATGTCTTTGTGTTACCATGTTGTTTCGTTCAACTTATAAACTTTGCACGCGGTAACATCGCGTAGATATATTTTATCGACTAGAATTCGTAATGGGATGTATGGCCCCTCGGTACCGTATATCGCTTAAGTTCGCCGGTTAGCAGCTCAGCCAAAGATGCATCCTGGATATCCACGACATATCTCCGGCCCACCGCCACACCGGCCTTTTGTTAAATATCTTTTTTTTTTTTTCTTCATAAGTATCCTGCGTTTTACTTTTTGCGGCCGAGGTATTCCACCATCTCCAGAAACTTTTCCTTCTCATCCTCCAGCAGCAGGGCTTGGATGCAACTCGTGAAGTATTTAGTTTGAAAGCAATCTTGCCTGTTCAACAGAGAAAACCAGTGAGTCAGTCAGTCATTTCTTCAAACCACTCCTGGGCCATATTATTTGTTAGTAAAATGAGTATTTGTTCTCAAGTGACATGCAGATTGGTATTGGTACGGTGTATGTTTTGTGTTGGCATAGCTCCTCCCTGGAATTAATAGAAAGAATGTTCAGATTTAGGCACTGTGGTTAGTTCTCTAATTCAATTCATCCAAGTTAGTCAGTCACTCCTGTGATTAATCATTTATCAGCGTAATCATCCAACAATGAAAAGTCTCAAGCAAATTCAAAGGAAAATGTGTAATTGGCTCAGTCTGTTTGTCTTCTGCATTGTCATTAATACAGATAAATTACCTAATGCACTTATTATCAGTCAATCCCCGCAGTGTGGGTGTTTTGACGAGATTTCCACTACCATTGCAAAACTCAGACGATAACGAAAGAATGTGATGGAATTAATGGGAGATTTAAAGACAAATTAGTTGAATAAAATTTACAAGTGCGAGAATAAAATACCAAAATTACAAATAGATGAAATAGAAATAATAAAAAAAAAAACATGAACGGGATAAATCATAAACAAAAAATTAAAAGCTAACCTAAACCCCAGGATCAGCGCCATGAAGTTGTTTGATCCATATTTGTATCTGCTTCATATCATCCTGCAGCAGTAAAACCTCCAGACAGCTCTTAAAGTAATCCGATGTGAAGCAGTCCTTCCTGTAAATTTTTCAATAATTCTCACAATGAAAAACTCAGTCAATCCAAATAATTGAGATTATCGTAAAAAAATCATGAACGATCGGCCGTTTTTCACTCTGTCAATGGACAATGTCTGCACCTGTGTTATAATTTAAAAAAATAATACATTTTGGTGAGACAAAACGCGTAACAACAAATACGGTGTTAAAAGTCAGGTAATAACGAATGTGCGTTGGCACTCTTTGGTCTCTCTCTCTCTGCAACGCGTGTTGTGCGCTATAAATAGAAGAGAAATCTCATTCCGTTTCGATACGTGCTATATTGGTTGAGGTAGTTTAAACATTATGGATAAAACGTGCACACAATGCGATCCGAGTTTAATGTGAAAATGAACAAGTTAAATATCACGATGCGTTCAATAAAACATCCTCTACAATAAAATCCAGACTAAAATAATAGCTCAGCAGTGATAAATCAAGGTTATTTATAAACCAACTCTCCTCCATCACGGCCAATTTAATGAGCAATTCAATGAAAAAGTGCATTTAAAAATGTACAATTCTCTCCAACCATTGTAAGATGGTATAATATGTGTTGAAATAATAACCTGCACAAGGTATGAAGCTGTGGCTCCCGAAATAGATTATAACAGTCCTCGCAGATACGATCCAATCTCGCAAAGATACTCTTATCATAAATCCCTTTGCACTGCAATTCCATGAAGGAGCGTTTGCCAAGTGGATGCCCCATTAGTACACCAGCATCAGCAATACCGAGACAGGATGAGATCAGAAGTAGCGTTACTGACCAAGCAAGTACCGACAAAAGTACAGGCGGACAGGTTGAACTTGATGAGCTTGATGAATGATTTAACCATTTTGGTGTTGCTGATGGCACTACCGGTCCACTTGCTCCACTTCCTCGTGATCTTAAACTCGTTGTTCCATCGTTTAATGACTGTCGGCACAAAGTTGATACCGCGATTGATGACTGCCTTGACTCACGTTGCATCATCTGCAATCATTCCAAACATAACACATAATATTTATTATTCTCGCAAATACTTGTGCATTTCAATATTATGGAGTCACAAGCAATTTGTAGATGTTGGATAAATACAAATGAAATTGTGAGAGTTGAGTGGAAACAAGTATAATACATATTCAAATCAACCAAACTGTGTGAATGGACCACACGCAATTGGGGGGCGAGGGGCACCTGTAAACGTCCTCAACCGACAACTTCATTAACTCTCCCCAATCCCCTTCCAACTTTCAGTCTTTTACTCCATCTCTCTTCTATTCGTATGTTACTCTCTGTTATTCCTCTCACCCCCCTCACTTCATGTCTTGTTTTCATCTCCTTTATTTTTTCTCTCATCTTTGTTTTTTTTTTTTCTCTTATTGCATATAATCGTTGCTCCCGGGTGGGATTTGTATTTTTAGCTGGCCGATTCTCAGAATTTTTGCACCGGCGATATTCCAACACGAAAAAACCACCATCGTAGAGGAAGATACGTATCTTTCTTTTTTCCTTTTTTTCAGTGTTTCTCTTTTTCTTTTCCTTTCTTTTATGAAAGACGCCGAAAATGCCGCTCGTATAATTGGCTCACGAGCGATAATTTGACCCGAGTGCTCGGGATCGTTAAATTTTTTTCATTTTCGGGGCCCGCTTTTTTTTTTACCTCGTTTTGGTTTATTTTTTATTCCTCTTTACATCCTCGAAAAGTCTGTGCGTAGAGGCACCAACGAGATGACGACTTCTTTCTGCCTTTTTAACCATTAATGCCGCACCGGCATTCGGTTTAATTTCACCCTGGCACCGGTGTTAAATTTACATTTGTACTTGTACGTATTTCTTGATAATTGTCTCAATGAGAGTTTCACTGGTACTTTTATTTAACATCTTAATTGGCGCGAAACACTCATAAAAATAACATTCACCACTTATGATGATAAGGAGTTGGCTAATTGTGGGAGAAAAAAAAAATTGCGAGAAATATTGAGTGTCGTGTTGTAACCACTGAAAGCGCTTATAACGAATAGTTTGATACATTGGATAGATAGGGAAGGTAGATGTTAAATAAATAAAAAGTCAATGAGAGACCGGTTGGCTCGACAGGTGAGGTCTTTTCCTCGGGTGCATGGCCAGGTATACACAGGTGTACAATCTGCAAGTGCCCCATGGCATTAAAAAAGAAAAAAAAAATCAGGGGAAAATGGTGGGAGCGATAAAAAAAAAATCAAGGTGCTCTGGTTTGCCAGCTCTACCCACTTGGGTATGACAGTCAAGATGTACTTGACTATCATACCCCTCGTATTTTTATTTCAATACTTTAATTTGCTACTCAACTTCACGCTGAACATTTCCAAATAGAGAAAAGAGAGAAAAATTACATATCCTCTCGTCTTCTCCAGTCCTTCCCAAGGGAAGGACTAAAAAAAATTATATATGTCAAATGATTTTAACTGGCTGCAATTGAAAGAAGAATTGAAGAGATGAAGAGTGAGGGAGACAGAGAGGGAAAAGGAAGGTGAAATAAAAAGTCAGAGGAGGTGGGGTTGACGTGGTATCGTTATATAGATCGGTTCTCCTCACCAGGTGGTCCCTCCCGTGGTGGATGACTCAATCGTGAGAAGGAGTTGCCTCTTCACGACTGGGCGAGTCGATCCGCGGGAATGAAGTTGGGGGGGAAAGAGGATAAAAGAATTAATAAGTAAAAAACGATGTAGGAGATGGGAATGAGGGAAGGAGGGGTAAAGGGGAAAAAGGGGAAAAGGGGAAAAAGGATTTTACACACTAGCGTGTGTTGTCGCACGCGTAATGGCTCGATCACCCCTCCTCACAGAGGTACACACATAACCGACTGAATAACTTTTTAAGAAAGAGGGAGTGGGCCTCTAATTAGGCGCTTCACCGACCGACCCGGTGGGCATATTCATGTACCACATAACATATGCCATTTGATATGCCTTACACGCTATATACCGTAAGGTAAAAGAAAAGGAGAGAGTCCCAGAGATGAAGAGAGATAGAATCAGACCTCTTTCCTCCCTCCCACCGTCTCTTAACCCTCATCGTCCCCCTCGAGCCCATACACTACCCACTATCCACAATCCACCGGTGGTGGCCAAAAAGAAGACGTCCGTAAATCAGCCGACAACGAGCCAGCGGCAGGCCTCTTTGACGGTTTTTTCATTCCCCCTCTCCACACACCCTTTTCATTTTTAGTTTTTCTCCAGGTCTCATGCTATTTCACTCTGGATAATATACCACAAACTCTCGTGTCTTTTATCCGAGACGTCCTTCTACCTTGACGTCTTCTTTATTTCTCCCCACTGGCGGTTATAATTCTATAATTGTGTCTGAAAATTCCCATTAATCGCTCCACTTGTTATTTTTTTCGAGAGAGAGGGAAAGAGAGAGAGAGAGAGGAGAGAGAGAGAGAGAGACGGATATATAGGTTTTTTGATTTTTTTTTACTATGGAGTTGCAATGCAGGAGGTCGTACGAGAGTTGAACGTACGGTAAGAGATGATGCGCGTGCGCGATCGCGAGTTAAGGCAAGACCGCGGTGAAATTTGAAAATCCTCTTTACATTTGATTATTTATCAAGATCAAATTTTAACAGATGAATTTTAAAAACTCGTCTACTTTTTTTTTTACACTTATAATCAGTCCCTACTCCGAAGTGATTGATATTTTAATTTTTTTTTTTTCAAATAAATGATAGATAGGGCTAAATAGATGCAATTATTTCGAGCAATTGTGAAAAAAGTTTTTCGCAATAGTCTTAATAATTATGGGTTAAGGTTGCGTTACATCGATTGTAGAATCTCCTTTATATAAACTCTCTGGCACGTCCTCGATCGGTGTGTGCCGCCAGCGCGGAAAAGTAACGATCCCAGTCGACTCCTTCTTCCAAGATCACCAGGACGATAATTTAATACACGACAAGAGGAGAAAGAGAGAAATAAAAAGGATTTAGAGAGGAGGGGGATAAAAAGAAGAGTGAAGATCGCCACCCAGGTGTATGGTCTGCGTTTACAGATGCCTTCATGATCTTGTCCGGTTTCAACGGTGCAATGGGAGAGAATAACGAGAGTATAGAGATGGATTTAATGAAAGGAAGGAGAATTGAAAGCCGATAAAGATGTGTCGGCTTGGCTTTCATTGATGTCTTACCATCCGGACCAGGATAGTCAAGGGCCATGGGGACCACTTGGACAAGTTCAATCTTCATTCGCAAATCAATTTATAAGAGAATTGGAGGCTCTGAGGAATACGATAAAGCTCAATCTGAGGAGACTATTAATAGAGATTTAATGATTCTGTGACGTCAATTGGCGATGGATAATTATGCATGAATATGGTTTTATTAACCTATGACAGCTCAATGTTTATTAGATGCTGAATAATTTCAATGGGGAGGAATGCATATGGGAGAGAAAGAGATTATTAAATGAATGATATTTTTGTGTATTTAGTGGTGTGGAGAAAGAGAAACTTTATTATTTCAAATTGAAATAAGAAGACAGAGTGATTTTGAAATTTCTTGGGTTTTGAGAAAATTCATCTCATCATCAATCATCTGATTTCTGATCAGTACGCAAATAGAGGTGGCATCCATGGTGGCACTCGTCACTTTAAAACACTGAGTGGCGCAGGCGCGATGTATTCCGCACTGGAATGTTCAACAGGTGTGTCTATTCACCTAGCATGTACAATGAATTTTTTCCTCAACTCTCCCCGTATCGCCATGAATACCGCATAATGAAACGTACCGTAAAAATAATATACGTAAAAATGAAAGAAAATGCCCCTCAACCTCGTGTACCAAAGTCATTTCGAACTCCTGACCTTCCCTTCGAGGGCAGATTCAAGTGAGATGAGATAGGAAGAGGAGGTAGAAAATAATAAATAAAAAATTCATGAAGGCAAACGTGTCCTCTGGATCTAAGTATAAATCCAAGTCACGGCACTGGGTTGTTCGCCGAGTGCTCTCTCGGTGTCAACGAACCCAGTCCCATGTAAAAGTCCAGTCACATATCATAGACACGATATAATTGATCCATCTCTCAATATCAATGAAATATCATCGAAACGCTGACGAGATCGTTTATCCTCACGAGGAGGCCACACCAAACCACCAAACAATTCACAATTCAAAGCATTTTTTTCATTTCGCCCCCTCGCCTCTCAAATTTTTATTCAATATTTTTATATGGAGAGGAAAAATTCATTGACGTGGGCAAACTAACAGAGACTCCTCTGTTCAGCTCCCATGATCCATTCAGTCTTATTTTCACGATCAAGAAGAGCGTGGCAGATTTATTCGCAATATAGTCTCGAGTGTAGAGCCCATGGAGAGCTCATGGGTTTCATGGGACCCATAAGACCCTCGTCTTGGCTTCTTGGTTCTGCTGGAGAAAATTTCCAAGCCATTTAAATCAAAGGCGATATTATTCCTATATATAGTATATACGAGAAAGTAAACAATCGAGTGCATTGATAATTTGACGGCATCGAGCCCAAACTTTAGCCGAAACGAATAAAAATAAATGCCGGCTAGAATTATTTCATCTCCACGACACAATAATCCAGTGCGGAATAATTTTTTATTTAATTTTTTTTTAATCTTCGGTTTATTCAAACTATTCACGACAGCTGTTATTCGCGGATACTTGAGTATTTGCCTCCTCTCATTTTATCCAAGTGTACGTATGTGTGTACCAGATATGTAGGACAGAGCGATCTCTGTTAACCGGCTGGAGGGCAAGTGTGGGGAGTGGGTGAGTGGGAGTGAGGGGGTGGATGGGTGAAAAGAGGGTTAAATTGAGTGAGGATTACGTTTGCCCTCTTCCCCGTTTTTATTCATTGCAATCTCTTGGTATTGGGAGTGGAGTCTAAAGCAGAATCGCTCGGGATCGCTATCACGTATACATGAAAGACAAGTGGTGGGGATCGATGTTCCGGCAGACAGCTTGGCGTCCTACAGCTGGCATTCCGAGAAACCTCCCGACGCCTTTCTCCCTTTTTCGTATCTTCTCGTAATGTTTATCACTTAACCCAGCCTATCTACCATTCTTTACTTCCATTATTTATTCAATTCATCATAACATTTTTTTTTTACTCAATATCCGGTGAGACTTCGATGAATTGACGCTGTTTTAATCGAATCCACGGAGACGATTGATTTTCCAGGCAATCCACTTAGTTCAGTTATTAATTTATTCATTTTTTCTCTCGATCTGCTATCGCAATAATAATTCAATTGACCAAATCGTAAAATACTCCTTAAATGGTTGTTGAAAAATTATTTTTCTTTCACAACCCGTGTATTTCTGTTCGCAAGGGGAATTGATCTGCTGTTAATAGATCAATCGATCGATCAGTGGTCAGTGATCGTCTGGAATCCAACTGTAGCGAACCACGTGTTGGAATTGACGCACGTGTTGGGCTCTCGTTTTCCACTCAGCTGCTCCCCATTGACCCCGAGATCAAAGGGACCGTGAATTCATTCCCTGTTTGTATACGTTTTGATACCACTCAATTTATATGCGCGAGTAAAAGCATTGTTGGGCCTTGACACAGCGCTAAATGTCCATTTCTCTCTCATACTTTGATGATTTTTTTTTTTCCCTTCTTTTCATTATTTCGAGTGTCATCTGGCGCTTTGAGATATTTTGCGCCACGTGTCAACATGTCTCGGAGAATGAAATCAAAATAAAAGAAAAAAATTGGAATGGACTAATTGAAAGGCTGGAAGGCGCCTTCGCAGAATCATTTGAATATTCAAATTGGACGAAAAGTCAAAGGAACAAGCGGAAAAAATTGTAGTGACGCAGGTATTCGGAAAAAAGAGGTGTAAAAATAGTTCAAGTCCAGGGATTTGCAGGATGTAGGCCATTCCCAGAAGTGAATTTTCCTTTATTTATTTTTTCTTTCTTCAGTAATTAGGAATTATTTTAATTGGAATTGGAATAGGTTAATCATAATGGAATTATTGTAGAAGACACGAATTTTTTATCCACTACTTGTTGAGGGAATGTGGAAAGGTGTGCGATGTACAAGAAGTTGCGAGAGAGTGACTTTGAGGTGATGTAGACAGAAGATGGGAGGGAAAAGGGTATGGGCCAAGCTACAGGTGGTAGAAAATAATTCTGCTGGATCGTAGGCGCCGAGATTTATGAATGAGTTCCAAAAATAGATAACCCCGGTGTGAGTAGAGACTTTTTTTTCATTCTCTCCCTCTCCCGTCATATTGCGCGAATTTATGGGACTTCTTGGGAGTGATTCATTGTGCTTGCGTGATTAAAATAAACACGGAAGCAAATGATTCTCGCAATTATTTCGTAATCAAAGGCCCAATTGATACCTCTGGATACTGAGGAATTGTCATGCGATAGTCTCGTGTCTCAATCAATCATATCTGTTTCTCGTTGTGTTATATTGCCGCGATTTATCATTTATTTTATTCGATTTATTCGGATTTTCGGTGATTATGAGGTATGGTAATGGGGGGAGGTTCAGCGTCAAAGGGGAATGTCTCGGGGGTGTGTTTGACAATTTTTATGTATTTGTGAGTCAGCTGCCGCCGGATGAAATGGAGTATATATAATACGAGGCAACATCGATACCGCATCCCTCGCGACCTTATCTCAATATTCCCGCGATATCGTATTTCAGTTACGTAAAAAAAATGGTATCACCCTGTTCCTGGGTATACCTAGCGATGTAGTCATTTTTTTTTTGTAGGGCGCATGGGGAGTGTTGCTCAATTTTCAAAGTCAACGCTATTCTCAGGGTGGCCTACACTATGCGCATTTTTTTCACACATTTCATCATTCGTTGATATGTTATGAATATACGGAAAGGAAAAGACTCTTAATATTTAAAATGAACATTGGAGAAAATTCATAATTCAAAAGAGCGTTTCGTATTAGTTCTTTTTTTTATTAGATAAAATTTTTCGTGATAAATTTGTGGAAAATATTTGGAAATTATTTGAAATATGTCCATTTACTTGAATTACTGTTTTCTCTTATCGACTCCAAATCATTGATAAATATCTCAGAGCCGAGGGTATAGCTAAAAAAATTTTTCTAAGGATCTTCGTAATAGAAATAACTCGCCAAGAAAGTAGTTCTGAGGACTCGGCAATCTCAATCCAATTCCATGCTATTTTTCATAAACTCATCTTCAAGTATAATTTACCCTTCTCGGTCGTATCACTTCACTACTGAAACGATATTTCCAAACTCTTCCCTCAATTCTTCATCTCACTCGACACTTACTTTATCAGTTACTTGGCACAGCGAATTATCCTCAATGACACCAGGAAGAAAATGGACACTTGGATCCAGGGATTCTCCAACAGGTTCACTGACACTTGAAGAAATAAACACGCAATTCCGATTGAGATAGCAAGCCCCACTGAAATCTCAATGATAGAAAAAAAAATTTTCAGTTTCAATCAAATGAAATCAATTGAAAATAAAAGGCCACTGGTGTAGGCTGAATCGATTGAATCAATTGAGGTGTACAAGCTGAATAAATTGAATCGATTGAAATAATTGACAAAAAATATTGTTGATAAAAGTTAAATTGAAACGCGCGCGCATTGACGATCGTCGGATGCGACTCACTTGGTGGTTCGGACTAACATTAACTAGCGCGGACTGCAGCTCGCTGCTTATAATATGGCCGAGGCGCGAACCAATCAGATCTCGTCGTTTCTACCCAACACTCCCCACTTTCCCCTCCTCTATCGGGTGGCAAAGACCCCCCGCGTGTTATTCCTCCGATTGCCTCGTCGTGCCTCCTTTTTCTTCTTTCTCTCCCTTTTTTTCCATATTTTATTCTATCTAATTAATTGATTAATTTATTAATTTTTCTCATATCTTTTCCCTCCCACTTTTATCTCTCGTTTTTTTTTTCACCATCGCCCACCCCCACCTAATTAAATCCAATATCAATTAGCAATGAAAGCAGAGGATCTAGCGAAATGTCAATTTACTGGGGTTTACACTGGGAATTATTAGAAAATCAGAGAATTGCACTTCCTTTCGCTTTTCAGCATTTCAACTCCAGAATGGAAAAAAAAAAGGGAATAACTGTGCAATTCAAAGTCACCGTTGCATCAACCCGATTGCGTCATTCAAATAATTGTACATTTTTCTTTAGTACTGATGAAGGCGAAAATGACGGTTTGCCACGGGGAGAGGGAATTGGAGGTGTGATGGAATGAACTACTTGGGCCTTTGATGGGTCCGAGTTATGAACCAAAATGCGTTTCGTACTTGATACGATATATAAAACCACTTTTACTCTCGCGCAACGTTAAACCATCAATCATACGATCGAGCCCCACTTAATATTAATGGAGTGACGATGAAATTTTTTCGTGTGATAATATACGGATTATGGAGGGAATTGGTTGATGGCTATAAAAAGGATCGGTGCAAAGTCAATAATTGACAGATTATCAATTTTCGGGAATAGAAAATGAACTGGCAAAATGGCTGGTGTAGGGAGTAATGGTAGGGAGTAATGGTAGGGAATTTCCCTGTATTTTCAATGACATCATTCATACGGTATGATCCCATTGCGTTCTACAGCTAAACAATTCCCTCGTGAATTATTCCATGGACTTTTCCGGTTTTCAATTAATGACGAGTACATTCGCATTTCATTACATTGTGATTAGATGATTTTCCCGGAGTTTCTCTGTGACAAAGAAGATGGAAAAGAACAATCAGTGATTAATGGAATAATCAGAATGTGAATAAAAAAAAGGTGTAATTAAGATGGGTTTAACCAGTTGGAAATTATTGAGAATGGATTACACAGAAAAAGGATGACTATAAAATATCAAAATTTGGAAAAGTATGGTGATAAAAAAATATTAGCAGCCACCCACTGGTAATATTTTTTTTAATTTTCCATGTATTGAGTATTGTACGACGTTATTGTCGGGTTGGAAATAATATGGTCCTACTTCCTATCGTACGATCTAACGGTGGAGCCGTTATCTCAACTCAATGCCGATAGATATCAAACTTTCTGTAACTATACGCATCCATATTTCATCCGCATCCAATAATTCAATTTTATTGAATTTAAAATAATTAAAATTCTCACCTTGTGCCCAACGATGACGATCATTCGTACGTTTAAAACAAATAACCAAAACGTATCCCAACACATGAAAAATTAGTCCGCGCAGCTTTTAACCGATTTCACTCTCAAGACCCACGTAATAAATCGTCAATTTACGCCGACACACCGCGATCCACTCCATATCGCAACCGAGAATCCCTAATTATTGAATCCAATTTACCCGATTCACCCGATCAGTCGTCCTCATACATCGTTACCTTGCAATCACATTAAGTACGACTTCCGCTAATTTTTCGCACCGATTAAAAGCCCCAAGTGAATTTACAAATTTCACTCGCACTCCACCGATTTCACTGATTTATCAGCATAGGACAATTCCACCGTCATCAAATACCGAATTAAAAAATGGTGGCAATTTAATTTCAATTCTGTGCTTACACACACTCCCGTACCAACGACCCCCAAAGAATCTATCAGTAGCTGGACCTCTATGAGTCTGATGACTTTAATGTCCGTATCCGTGCCAGTCGGCGTTGTGCATCAGTTAGCGCCGTCAGTACGATTTTCTCACGCCGTGATTTCCGTTAGTACTTTCAGTCCAATCATCCGAACACTCACTTATCACAATGTTTATTTAATCATCAATAAGAATTTTTAGTAATTCTCATTTTACTCCAACTATTCCAAATATTCAATAAATTTCAATTATTCCACTTCCGCACTTCCACTATCACTGATAGATTTAAATGTTCTTCGATTAGGAGAAATGTTGGCAAATTAGACAGTTTATTCATTTCTATGTACTACATACGCTTGATTGATTTTCCGCGTAATAACTGATAGTGTACTCGTTAATTATTCAACCGATGCAGCATAATAAAATAATATAAAATATTACAAGAGATTAGAGCGTATGACACAGGAGGTTTAAAATGTATCGTCGCACAATGCAGACTGTCGAGGCTTGGCAGATGCCGCAGACAGAACCGTAAAACGCGCGCGCCTCTTTACTCTATACACATCGGCTATTCAAGAGAGACACATCCATTGTAGATTCCCAATGAAATAGAGAGATAAACGACATCCACTGTGTTTTCTATCAAGGGATTTGTATATATAGTATTGGCTTTGAAACTATTGACCCTTCCTCCGGAGCCCGTCATTTGCGCGGCTAAAAAATTTATTTGCTCATTTTTTCATTTTTTTTTTTTGCCTCGAAGTTCGACGCCATTCGAAGGATCAATTGGCAGGAGTATTATTCCAGCTCTTGGAAAATATTTCAAGTTGAATCGAGTGTCTGTACTTTGCAATGTCGAGTAGGCACTTAACACGGTTAAGGGACCCTCCGCTGGTAGTGAAAAAAAAAAAAATGAAAAATTACTGTCACTGTGTTAGTTACTCGTTGAACAGTGCATCGGTGATACCCAACTGTACAATGTGTCTCCCAGCAATGCTTTTGTGGCACCGTCCAATTTATCGTTACAAGACCAATCCTATATTTTTTTGAGTCCAAGGTTTTAACTGGGCGAGAAAGACGAGTTCACGCACTATTACGAGCACTATTTCTGACGAAATTTAATGATTTTAAAAAAAGGGTGTAGCATTTTTCCAAAAAAATAATTTGAGAAGGGATTATTCATTGAATAATTTCAGTGACAGATAACATGCACAATTCTCTCATAATGAGAATGACTATTTTTACCCGGAAGTACCCCATCAAAAAATGATGGCCACTGGAAAAAGTTGTGGAAAGAAAAAGTTACTTCGGTATTAAAAATTAATTTGTTATAAAAATTTAATACGATGAGTATTTCTGGTAATTAGTAATTGTGGTGATGATTATGTACAAGGAGATTCATGGTGGATAGATACTCTTTAGTGTTTCACTGCGTTATGAAAACTGAACGGAGAAGGTGGGCTATAAATAACACACCAACCACCCTGAGGACGGAAAGTAGCTTGCCTTCAGAGTTCCGTAACGAATTCTCGTGATTGCTCTTGCTCTTGCTCTTGCTCTTGTTCTTGCTCTTGCTCTTGCTCTTTGTGATATTTGCATTACAACTGCACATGCACTTTAAAAAAAAGAAATTGCAATTCTTATAGAAGAAAAAATTTATTCAAGAGAAATAGGCAAATGAATTTTGAAATTAATCAAAATGGAAAAGGGGGGAAAAAATAGAGAGAATGAAAGAAGTAAATGCTATGGGTCCCGAGTGTACGTACAACGGTTTGGTGGACACATTTATCTGCACTTCCACGTGACACCTGCACGTGACAATCATTGATGTCCTTTTTAAGAAAATTAACGTTCAACATTACTTGTACGTGACCTTTTAGGATGACTTGATAACAACGTTTTTCTCAATGAAGAGTGACCATTGAAAATTGTTAGTTACGACATGAAAATGATTTCATACCAGTTTAATCTAGATACAATTCAATTCCTTTTTCGTACTGATTCAACTCGAGATTATTTTTCCAGTTGTGAAAGTATGTATAATGCCAGTGAAATGACAACAAGCTGGCTATAGTTGTTTATCAGCCTCAGTTTAGCCGTTGTTTTACTGATTGAACTTAAATAATTTATCGCCTCTTAAGTTTCTTTCCCCCTATTTGACAGTAATGAATGTGCCAGAAGTGAAACGCGTCAATGATGAGACAAGCTGCAACCGTCGGCTCAATTGTTCTTGTCTTCTCAACTGCCTTTTATTTTATTCTTTTTGCCAATTTTTTTTTTATCCCGTCCTACCCGATCAATGACGTTTTGATTAATAACGAATGGACTAATTGAATGAATGAGCTAATTGAAACAACATGAGAGGGAGACATTGCGATAATTGATGTCGGAAGATACGGAAATAAACATAATAGACGTCAGTGACGAAAAAACATTCACTGATTTTAATGAGGGTTCAAGTACGTATGATCAAAGTCGAAGAACCGACGATTCTTTCTTAGAAAACCATTGAGTCTGACGAAATCTTCTCCAACATTTTATTTTACAAAAATGCGATGTAAAAGACGGAAATAATGTGACTTGCAATATTTGAATTTCCAACCAAATTAAAGGCTTCATCGGCAGTCTGATTTATCTATCCCAAATCAATTTGTTAATAATTGATAGTTGTTTCCAACAATATCAAATAAATGACGACAATCCTCGCAATCGTGACATTATGAAAAATAAAAATTAGCAAAGTCACGATGACGACACTTGATTGAAAAGTGAAAAATTCCGCCGAGTGAAACAAACAATTTGAATCATTTGAGAAACCAACGTCAGTGATGTTTTCCGGTGTTCCGCGAACCAACGGTCAATAAAAAATGGAAACAAAAAAAAACCATTATAAATTGTTTTTCATGTCTTTATTCAACAGTTGATGCGAAAGCTGGTGCATGGAGCGTGAAATGCAGTCAATTGACACGAATTAAGGCGCAATTAAACAACATCGCGCAGACAGCTGGACGCTTTTCCAAGTTCTCTCTTGAGGGAACCCGAGGGAAAGGAAGAGATTCCACACTTTGAAAAAGGATTACTTCGGAATTGGTCAATGAATGAATTTTTCAAATCGCTGGAGTCTACCTATTTTCTACCATTGAAAAAAGTTTGCACTATTGAAAATATGAGAGACAACTGAAAGTGGTGAAATGGTGGGTATGTGTTAACAGGATTTAATTTCCAGTGGAATTTTCATAATTATTGGAAAAAAAAATAATTTTCAGTGGTCGAAGAAAGAAAAAAAATACTAATGAGGAGCAGCAGATTAAACTTACATCCCGCAGGGAAATTTGCTGACTTTTTAAACGTCAAATGAGCAATAGCTGAGTCCAATACTTTTGAGAGGTAATCCTTTGTAAGAGGGATTTAAGGTGAAGCAGTCATGTGAGTAACACTTTAATCACTGAATTGTTCTGAATAACAGTGAATAGCATTCACTCACCTCAATTCCACTTATTCTTGTATTCACAAGTTCACCTGTTGATCAAACACGAGACAACACACTCCTAGGCTCTCGAATGGGGTTGTGACGAGGGCGTCGCGACGTCCTGTGCCTAATATACCGTCAGCAGACTCGCCACCCTCTCTTTTTTTATCTTTCTCTCTCGTGCACTTGTTTTTTTTTCTCTCTTTTCTGCTCCTGCTGGTCTTCCCTTTCCAACTATCTACAAATACAGTTGTATCGGGCATATGTCGACGCATGTGAAGAACGACCCCACCTTCCCAATCCGACGACCCAATTGTAACGGTGGCTCCGGTCATGAGTGTCGCCACAAATGGACTCTGCAATCTTCGTAATAACATGTGTCGTTTGTTTTTATTTGGTTTTTTTTTTCTGCTCCATGCGATCCTCGGCTTTTTCATCTTCCAAGTCGAAGGGGGTTGCCTCCACGCGTATCAGCCGGCATTAGCCTCTGGGAAAGGTCATGAATGTGAAATTAACTTCGAGTCGAGGGATGAGCTCAGACTCGACTCATTTCTCTAGAATTCAATAGGCACGAAGGAAAAATTGACAATCATATAACATCAATAAAAAAACAATAAATAATTTGTGAAGTTTCCCGTCGTTCCGGGGATATCATGGCAACCTTCAGAAATGTCAAGTGTTTGAATAGAAAAATTTAAAAAGGGCAACAAACCCGAATGGATGATAGAAAAGACAGATTTTCTCAAACACTGGTAGAAAGGTGGAAAAACAACAGCAATTCCCTTTGGTACAGCAAATTTAATTGTCCTGTCCGGCAAGTCAGGTGAATTAGAAAAATTCCTGTCAATTGCCCGAAAGCAACAATTATGGAAATGAAATGATTGAATTGAATTACTCATCCCCCAGTCATTCCGAACATTGAAAGAGAGAATAAAAAAATTTTTTTCAATAAAAAAAAATATCCCTCAATGATTTTTCCACGATTTCTCCAGTGCATCGTGAAATCTTCATTCTCATCACGCAGAGACACCCGGCGTACACCTTTCCAATTCCTGTCGCATTCTATACGTAAGCCGCATGAAAACGGATATTTAATTCGTGCAAATAGTTGTCAATAGTGGGAAAGCAATGTGTGGCAATAGACATGCCACCTCAATAGGCATTTTAGTTCATATTATGTTACCACCATGTGATAAAATGTAACTCATGCATTCTAAAGATATATATCCGAAATTAGAAACGTTTTACTTTCACCCTGACAATCGCCTCTAAAATCCTATCGATTTTACTTGCAATTTTTTATCTCACTATTTTTATTCATGCCACTCTCTTTTTACTTTTGTTTACGCGGATTTTCCTTTATTATTTCGCTCTTACAAGAGCTATCAATGCTATGATCGTGGGAAATATTTGAGTGTAACTTCTCGGTAAGATTGAGTTGCGATTATGCATATGTAACAGTATAAGATTTATCAGTATCGAGGACGGATGTAGCGTATGATATTTTTATCCAACTTCCGCCTTTAATTCCTAGCTAATTTCACCTCTGGGAATTCCAATGTCCACTGACGAAATTTTTTTTTGAATTGACAGTTCATTTTCTCAATTGTTTATCATTCCCCATTGAAGTTAAGACCTTGTAAAAAATACGTTTCATTGTCGTTTATGAAAAACATGGATTAGTGGAAAGATTAAAACCTAGACAAATGCCTATGTTCTCCGAATCTTCAGTGACGTTCAATGGTTCATTATCAGTGAATCAATGAATCGAGATAAAATAGTCAAATAGTCGAGTATTTCTACTTAAAGAAAGCCATTAATTTGGGATGTGACAAAACGCATGCGACGTGTTGATTTTTTTTTTTGCATGAATTTTCTGTGAGGAACGACGAATTTTTTGATATTTTTTGGTTTCCATGTATATATGTTAACGTCGAGGACATATTTCCACTCATCACTCTCAATATTTTTCCATAGAATTTCCACAGTGGAATGGGATTTCTCGCGGTGTAATCTATCGCGCAGTGTCCGGCCTCGGGCATTAATTCAGCCGATTACTTGGATGCGAAACGCGTCGGTCGATTGCATTCGCTCAATGTATGGTATCCGTGAAGGTACGCTCGCCAACTCGCCTATACGTGACTCGATTCTTCTTAGGTATTCTTTTTCTTCCCATTAGTATGTTGTTTTTTTTAAATTTTATTTTCTTTTTATCCCCGTTTTATCGGTTGTGTCGCTGCCACGCTGTCTATCGCCAACAGTTTCCCCTTTCTCTCCTCTCATCCTGCGCTCAAGCCTGCACCCAGGCCTGCACACACAGTGCACTCGTTCATTCCTCCCCTCTTTGTCTGACAAATATTCAACCTCAGTGGAATTTCTATCCACGGAATTCGAACGTGGAATATTTAACTCAAACTAGCGAGCTACATTCCCCGCTACTCGAAAACCTTATTCGCCTGCAACAAGTCGTTTCAACTTTTTTAGTTCATTTTCGATCACTTATTTTCCGTCTATGTGTGAATGACATTTGTGTGAGTAAATGCCGTGCCTACCGGCTTGCTGCCACGCTGTCTAGCTATCTCAAGTTCGCTCTGACACCAACGTCTTGTGCCTCTTGTACAGAAAAATATATTGAAAAATTGTCATTGAGTCTTTTACCAATAATACTTAGTATGTGGTATATTTAAAAAAAAAAAAAACAAAAATAGCACAATTCTTTAACAATTCGACCGTTCAAAATGACTTTTGGACACAGGAATTTTTCTGGCACAAGATAACATGCGTTGGTGAGAAGGTAAAATCATTTTTGAAACATTTCTGTATGTGTTTTCTCAGAAAAGGTCGCCCTTCATAACTTATCACATGACATATTGTCGCTTCTCTATCTTCTATTATAGTCTCCATTCGAGATGCCGACCCACGATTTCTCGGTTAGATAAAACCGTAATACCTGTGTACCTAAGGATAAATATTAGAACGTTCGATTTTTTCTCCCCACTTTTTTTCCTCTCGAAGTCAATTACCAGACTGAATAGCTGCCAATTTTTTTATTCCGATAATTCCGAGGATTGTTATAGGTGTTTTGACCTTGGCGGTGAAGTTTAGTGGTCGTTTTGTGTGAAAATTGTCGCTGCAATTATCGATGAAATTGATTTCAAGTTATTTGGCTGATTATGCATTCTCCAAGGCTGACTCGACGGATCTCTTTACTACTTAAATCGTGGTTGGCATTTATCTTTTGATGGACACATGTGAATTTTCAAGGATTGTATAGGGGTAAAAGATGATTTACTGAATGTCGTGTGCAAGCTATGGTCGAAGGAGAGGCGTTGGTATGTCTTGGATGTCTTGGATGTCGTGGTGAACGAGTTGAGAGTCAAGTTGTCAGGAGGGAGGTGCCAAGCGGTCTGCCGACATACACATGAGGTTTATTCGCTTGTATTATCAGCAAAAACTAGCTCAGTACACTCGTTCACATGCCAAGGCTAACGATATAACGAATCTACCATTCTGCGTAGAAAGATGAAGGGATTTTCTTTTTCGCATCAAAAATCGCAAGTCAATTTTTTAAAATTCAAATTTTTCCTCTCGATTCAACGTAAATTCATATTGATAAGGAATGAAGTGTTGAATTTCATGTAAGTCGATTCACGTTATGATATACTCGGTCAGTTCACCTCCATTGTTCCTACCCCCTCTTGTTTATATTTGAATTTCACGTGATTATCACAGCGAAATGAGGGTGGAAGCTATGAGGTTCACCGTACTACTCAATGGAAAAAAAAACACATGTATGAAATTGAAACAGCTACGAATGTGAATGAAAATTAATGCTCAGTGTAAAAAGGGGGCTTGGCAGAGAAGGGGTAGAGTAGAAAGGAACGTCAGACGTTTGTTCCACGAATGCTTGGTGTGCAGCATCCTAACACAAACCGTCTTCTTCACCGAAGGCATTCGTATACACAAGCCTCTAATTATCCACAACGGAATCTCCGCACTTTATCACTCGTTCAATGATTCACTTATGTCTATTTATAAAATTTTCATCCATTTTATTTATTTATAAATAATTTTAACGGGAAAATTTTTCTCTTCATTGCAATTCAATTGCTATTTCAATTGCAAGTGTAATTTTCTAACAGTCGCATTGATGAATGAGAACATGTGAAGAAAAATAAAATGGAAATGTTGTGAAAGAGGAGGGAGCGCGGGAGGGGCAATTCATCTGAGAGAGCGTGTGTGACTGCTGTGAATTTCTGTGATTGGAGCTCTGAATACTTGCTAATTCAAATAACTATAATTTACTGGGAATGCGACGAAAGGGAAGACGTCGCACATGCCATCTTTCATTTTATTTTTATCCCAACAACTGCCAAAGGAAATCAAAGTCTCCTCGACAAATTATCACAGGGAAATAATGCAGATGAGAGACTTCTAAAAAAAACTCCTCCCAAGTTTACAGAGACGACGAGAGGTTTTGCGTCACAGAGTTGGATAATCTTTTTAGGAATCGTTTCCGAATACAACTGACACAAGAATTTGAGTAATATTCCTCAGAGATCAATGCAATAGACACTTACTGAAATTCAAGGGTAATTCACAACACATTTTCTCTTCATATAGAGTAACGAAATAACCACTTAAAATAGCTCCGAGTGGTGTATATATACATGATAATCATTTAAAATCTGCAATACAAATTAACGTTTATTACACGTTCATAAAATAATTACGTTAGAAAAAGTGGAGATAATTATAGACCAGTTTTTTTACGACGTACTAAGAGGGGGACAAAGAATTTGAATGGTAGCAATGAAAAGGCAGTTGAAATCATAACTCACAAGAATATTTTATTATCATCTGAAGTACGCAGAGTCTGATGACGACGACGTAATCAATAAATGAGGATGATGAGAGATAAATCTGCCTCCTGCATCACGGAATTTCTCCATATCTCGTGATATTGATGATGCCGAGTTGCAAAATCATTCGACGTTAGCTCTCATTTTTCATCCACTCATTCATTTGCATCACATAACATCACTGACTCATACGATTGGCTATTCTACAAACTAGTATCGCGTGCATCGCATTTTTTTTTATTCGTTAAAAATCACCAGACTCCAGCTTCCGAGAAGATTCGTGCCTCCATCACCAACAAAAATGCAAAATCCTCGAGTTATTAGCAACTCCGTGACTCAGCTTATTTTCCACTCAATTTTATTCTTCATTCTCTTTTCCCATCTGGTTTTATCCATTTATAATTGATAAAAATGGAGCAGCGGTAGCATTCTGCTACCAGACACCGCTTCACTTACAAAAATCAATTTTTTTTTTATCATCTCTATACCGAGAAAATATCAATATATTTCCATTGATGCAGAATTCATTGAACATCTCAATTTAATAATTTGTATTGTATCGGCTATGATTAATTTCTCAAATTTCATTCTCATTTTCCATTGACACGCACTTTTCATTCAATTTTTCAGATAAAAAAATTGTGTAAATAGGGTGAATAATAAATGGATGCCACCAGTGTTTCCATATCTTTCACCGAAGGAGCCTCCAGTGAGGTTCGCGGTGTGTCTGGAATAAAAATTAACGACACGTGGATTTTAACCAGTGGACTTCTCTACACAACAACTTCAGACAAGGATAACGATGCCCTCCATTTAATTCGTAGCCTGAAACCAGCCATTTTAACGTGCATCCCTGTCCCCCAAAAAATAACCAATGTTAGGGTCAGCGTGACGTCAAGAGCGGCTCCAAGGGCAATGGGAACAAATGAGAGATCAGTGGAAGATTCTAAAATCAGCGAGACATGTGGAACAATTTGCGCCGCCTGGCGATGTCCTCTTCTCTCTGACACACTTGACAATTTATTCCACGGATGGAGTTTCGATGAAAATTCCGAGAAAACAGACAAAGCTCTGTTGACGATATTTTTACTCGTGCGTTTGCATAAGGATGAACAAGCGGAATTCACTTCAACTGATATATTGGAGGCAGAAGAGTGCCTGACTCATTTGTTGCGTATTTGCCAGCTCCTTGAAACTCCTAGAAGAGGAGTTGACATGTTGATTGAATCAACGCCATTTGGGAATCCCGTCTTCATTGATTCAATTTCCCGTGGAATAGTCAGCAATGCCCTTGGCACTCATGATTGTGTCATGCTGACCGACGCAAATGCTGTTCCTGGATGTGAGGGTGGTCCAGTGTATGTCATAACAACAAAGTAAGTTTTAAAGGCAATTATTTTCAATTATAATTGTGAGTGATGAGGCATCTGCAAGACAATTTATTCTCATTATATATTTCACGGAATCATTGAAATACGTCATTTGGAATAATTTCCTCCAAGGTGATTTTTGTGTCAATGGTATCTAATGATGGTGTTCTGCTCCATTCACTTTTCGTTATGATATTTTTTATTCATCACCTCAGCGGAAGCAAACTCTTATGTGGGATGGTGATTGCTTCCCTGAGCTGGTGCCGGGGTGAGTGGGTGGATTACACGCTTGTTGCCCGTCTCTTTCCCTGTCTGATGAATCTTCTCAATAAGCATGAGAACATTGAAAATTCTGTTAGCTCTCATGCTGATGTCCATTCCAGCCTCACCGGTAAGACCTTTTTTTTTTCTCAATGGATAACTAGATGAAAATGGGAATGCCAATAGGGCAGGTATTAATTAGGATGAGTTGCAGAGTGGTTGGATAAAAGTGTGGTACTAGTGCGGTGTGGAGCTGAGTGGGGCAGTGGAATTATTCTCGATCGTCCTACCGGAACAATTCTCACTTGTTCCCACGTTGTTAAAGAGGTGGTAATACAGGCATTACACAAAACGATTAACGATAAACGATAATAGACAATAGAAAAATTCCAGGCGCCTGAAAGACGCGTAAGGGTTGTTTTTCCTTCGAGCTCTAATGGAAAATCTTCATTGTCAATATCCAGCGTGTGGGCGAAATTGGTTTATCGTACAGCACGAGGACAGGCATATGATGTTGCCATTTTGATTGTCGACACACAAGTGATGGACCCCACGCTGAGATCTCTCAAGATAGCTGATAGAGAGGCAGAAAATGGTGGGCATTATTCCGATAATTCCCCCCAATTCTATCCCGATCACTTTATTTTTCATATTCATCCAGGTGAACCAGTGGTTAGCGCTGGATATCCATTTTTCTCCTCAACTCTACCGACAATAACACGTGGAAATATCTCGAGGGCATCGGCATGCATGCTACAGACCACCTGTTGTGTTCAGAGTGGTGCCAGCGGTGGGCCAATTGTTAGAGCAACAACTGGTGAATTACTGGGAATGGTTGTTTGCAATATTATAACATCCAGGACTCTTTATCCTAGGCTAAATATGGCTGTACCTATGGCAGCTATCAAGCAATCCATTGGTGATTACATAAAAACACAACGTAAGTATGAATTATTCGTGGAAATATTGATGATTTATTCAATTCAACGAGATTATTTGCATCAGGTGTCGAGGCGTTGTCCGCTCTAACCAATCAGGAAGCAGCTGTTTGTGACGCTTGGAATTTCCATCTTCCTTCAAAAATATAAAGCGCACCATAATATTTGTACAACAATTTAATAGGTAAGAAACAAGTGTCTCATACTTTAATAGAAATAGTAAACAGGAAAATAACGCAATGACGCAAATCTCGGTCAAATAAATCATTCAATCGTTCTCATCATAAGTTCCACTACCTCCTGATCATCTTTCCATCCACTCAAAATCACTCTTGAGTTTCCACTGACCGACTAATGTACTTTTTTCGACTCTGACAATTCGCTGGTGACGTCATTAACATCATTATTACCGAGAATTATTTTTAGTCGCAAGTTTACTGTTCAGATGAGGAACAAAAAGAAGAGTGATAAAGATATTAGTGGATGGAGTTTAATATGGTATAATTGCCACGAGGAAAAACTATATTTGGAAAGAATAATGGATTGTGGTGCGTCATAATGGGATTTATCGAGGGTAAACTGGGAGATAACCAATCTCGAGTTGATATACACACGCTATTGACCGAGTTTTTAGTTGAGAGAAAGTTTTTTTTTTGACCTCGCATCACATCTCCCCCTGAACTGCACACTCAGCAGGAATTGCTATGTATTCGTCACTGTTTTATTTTAACTCACTCAATTTAATTCGTGACATTTGGCTGTCAAAAATGTCAAATTTTCGATGAACGAGTACTCTCGCTTAATTTGATTGTTTGAAAAATATTGAGCAACGACAGTGGAAGTCTTAAGCGTATTATATCACTGGTAAAGATCCTAAAATATTTTGATTACGAGGAGATGTGAAGTTTATTGATTGCATCAGGCCCAATTTACCCTCCACACCATTAATGTATGAGATAGAAGACGGGGAAAGGAGTCTGTTGAGTTATTTTTGAGTCGAAATGTATTAACTGTGGATAACGACCCAATTCCATTCGATTTGCATGAACAACTTACTGATCAACCTCGGAGTGTATATGCAAATTCATATTCGTTCTATACACTTGACGACATTTGAATATTTTTTTTCGTGGATTAGTTGTACGGTCGGTGGGTTCTTTCATAACAGAATAGAATTATTTTAAAGATTTTTATAATGCCAGAAATTTGAAGAAAATATGGAAATTTCACTGACATCCAGTGTTATTCGCGGTGATGACACACTCATCAATTATGTTATCGTTCGAGTGTTGTTACACCCTTGGGTTAATGTTAAGTCAATTCCAAATAATTGATATTCTGTTTGTGTATAATATACATTCACTTACGTCACATCCTCCACTCGATTGTCATGACGATGATTCCGAAATGAACGCTGTGAAAACTTTGAAGACACGTAACATTTCGAATGCGACATAAATACCATGTTTATTGGCAGTATTTTTCAAATGATAAATTATCTTAGGATTATTTTTTATTTATTGCTATCGAGACACTTCGATAGGTACAAAAATTCACGTTGGCAAAGTGGCCTTCCCCCCCATAACAGAAAAATTTTCGTCAATGGGAAACGGTTTTTCGTTTTTTTTTTCATTTTATTTTTACGTTTGATTTATATAATCAAAAATTTGTACACTACCTTTTACGAGATGATAGTATATACATGTCGTTCTCCGAATTGGAAGAATTGAAATTTTTCTATCGATGATGGGATTAGATATATTGTTAGACAGTTTAGGTATGGATTTTTTTTTTGGTTTTTGGTATATATCACGAGAAATGAATTATTACTACATGTTCGATTTCGCTTGCACTGGAACTTGCATTGTCACTGCACTTACATGCATTAACAGAGAATTGTCACAACAGCTGAAGAATTTCAAACGTCGAACGTTTTCATATGAATCAATGCGATGATTATTCATCTTGGAAATTATCCGACCGTTTCGTACCCGTTCCTTTAATTTTTATTTGTTTTTTCTACTGTTCAACTTATACTTCCGATAAAACGTCACGAGTGTGCAATTGTTCGTTGTACATCAATTACTTCAGTAGCCGATCACACTTGCAAACTTACAGACGATTACATTTTTAAATAATAGTTATCTTCTTCACCTTAATTCACTATATACAAGTTGGATGGAACATTTTATCATAATTATTAATTAACCGCGGATTCTCCAATTAATTTTCAATACAAATTCATAGCGAAGTGGCCAAACGTAAATTGGCTGTGATATTTTTGGTATAATTGATACTTTTTAAATGATAATATAATGATCAATTCATTCTAAAAACCCGTCAAAAATGAAAAAAAAAAAATACATTACTTTTAACCAGTTTGCTACTGAAATAAACTTTGTCATGAATTTTCCATGTGAACCCAGTGGATCTCCCTCCTTAATTTCCTAAGGCAATTTCCGATGGACAAGTAAGAAAATAGCAAAGAATAATCTGCATTTTCTTCTTTTCCAAACGCCTTTCGTACGTATCGATGTGTCGGGGGAAATGGTATACACGTTTGGAAAGGACGGAAAACTATAAATCGAGAACGATGTGAAGAGAGTGTCTCTGCACTAAATCTCATCAATTCAATTATCGATTGGCCGAGGAGTCTTGATCTCACGGTGATTCCATTCGATAACTTTAAAAAAAAAAACTCCTTTCTAATCAATTCAATTTGGGCCGTTCACCTGCTGTTAATATTGATACAATTTTCACTCGTCTCTAAGTACAAAATTATAAATAGATCACTATTCTCATATGTAGAACGCAGGATCTAAATATTTAGATTGACTCCAGTTACAATTCACAGCCTCCCCGACTGTTTCCCGTATGTAGTATCAACGCAATAGTGAAGTGATAAAACCAGACGAGTTAAATTCACTTTCACCCCCGAAGCGAATCTTAGATTAATTCTTTCTCAGGGATAAACTCTTCATTATTTCATTACTTCACTTACTTCAAGTACAGTTGATTACAACTATGAATACGAATTTTTCGAGACATGGAAAGCGGTAAAAACGACTAGAGTATTTTGATCGAATCGTAAATACTAACGACTTTTTAACTAAAAAAACGAAAAAAAATAAAATGACAAACCACGAGTAAATGAGTCACCACCCGATGTTGCCCATCTGAGTACTTTTTATGGTAATATGGTTTTTAGCGGATAGAATTGAATGAACATCGTTCATTGCTGGTAACCATTGGTGGTGTGGTGATGGGCCTCTTGACTGTCTATACTGTAACCAGTAATGCTATCTGGACTCTGGAGTGAAGCCGCATAAAGCGGGTTGACCGGCGTTGCATGGGTGTCGAATTGTGTTGAGTCATAGACACTGTGATTCTGCAAGCACAAACAAACAATTCCGCTTTTGGATTCCTGATCATCTACAAATCAATTACAATTTCGGCGTCTCATTGTAAACCGTTCTGCCTTTTCTCATTGAAACAACAGACTTTTAATTTTCGATCAGAGACATCCACTTGAGTAATGAAGCAGCAGCACAGACAACGGGCTTATGACATTGATCTTAAGACATTTTTTTTGTTTAAATTCATTCATTTTTTAACCACTTCACTGCTGAAGTGGTTTCAGTGTAAATCATCGTCTCATATCTGTGCTCCACATGCAGATTAAAATACTATGCCAAAGATCACACGCACCCATAGAAATCATAACACACTGAAATAAAAAAAAAGACAAAACAAACGATAAAAAAAGGAGAAAAAACATTTTTTAAATAAAATAAATTCTTGAAGCCGACGTTCACGTCGAGTGCAAAAAACACATGTGTAAACGATGTATATGGCACATCCAACCATACGAAATAACTCAAATTCAACAGACTACGAGGAAAAGCCAAACGTGATGGTGGGTTATTTTGATTTCGGTGTGTAGGCTGCCACTTTTAGATGGACATTGTTCACACACAGGAAATTACAGAGGCGCACGAGAAAATATAGAGATGAAGATAGGAAAATTATCGACAGTGAGCGACTGAAACAATCTCACAATCTCATCTCACAGGTAATACAGAATAATTTCAAATAATAAATAAATGCATTTGATTCGATTTATCATTGGCGCAAATAAAATCTCCCACCTCTGTCGTGTATTTGATAAATAAATAAAAACCATGTGCATTTTTTGGCTACTTCAATACATTTAATAAGCCACTAGGCATGCTAATTATTTACACTTTTAGAGGAATTAAAGCTTTTTTATGATACTCCACAATACGCAGTATGTAATTCGATATACTTGTAGCTCATGTCTGAGGGCAATAATGCACCATAGAATACGATAATTTCCAAGGGACTAATTCCAATCAACTGATTAATTGTGCAAATTTCTTATTGACATTAGTCATATGTACATAAGATACCCCTTTTACTCTATCAACTATTATTATCACAAATACGAACGAAGCCTAAAATTTTGGCGAAATATTCGTAACACCCTTTGTAATTTACTTCGGGACAAATTGACACCGAAATTCCTTCAAACTATCGGTGAGTGTGAATCATCCTTATCCCTCCGTGCCAACGGACTTTGGTAAACTGGTGATTGGATAGACTGTAAATAATCTCCAAGGCCGCCAATGTCCCTACCTACATCCCTATCGCGACTGCTCTCCCCTTCGCGTTTGGAGGAATCACAAGCCGATGTACTTGGGATATTCCTGCCAATTTCCACATCGAGTGATTTCACTGAACGACCGGATGACAGACTCCTCGGCAGCCTTGGCATTGCCCTGGAGCTACTGTCATTCTCACTGTCAAGTATATTCTGAAGACTGTTCTCTAGAGGGGGTAAAACACTGGTGGAGGGGCTCTTGATTGATAATTTTGCCTGAGCTGTCATTCTGAGCGATGTATGACGACTCGAATCACTGGCATCAGCTGACAATGTACTGAGGGTATTTTCAAGACTCGATCTATCTGATTCAGTGAATAAATTGGCGCTACTGTCATTATCCTTGGGCGTGTACATAAAATTACTAGCTGTACTGGGCGATAATACCAGATTAGCACCCTGATCGGCAATATCTGCTACACTCATTTGTGAACTACGCTGACGTAATTTTCTAGCCTCTGGTGATAGGGCGTAAAGAGTTGTTTGGGAGCTATAGCGACTTGTATGAGGGTTCCTGGGATCCATCCTGGATGATAGGGAGTATAGGGAGGTTCGCTGCTTCAAGGCGGGGGGCGGTTTTGCTCTGAGCGACTGGTATAAGGGTATGTGCATAGACGGAGTATGGACCTGATATATGTAGTCACTGTCTGTCTTCAATGATGAGAAGCTCTGCTGATGGGGCAGCGATACTGTGTCCTCTTCCATTCCATCGTCAACCTGGGCTTTGTAGGAGAACTGAATTGATGGCTGCGATACACTGTGGACATTCCCACCTTTTCGGTAACAGCACAACGACCACAAATCGTGGAAAGTATTGTGTATATATTATAAATATTTATAACTTACCCAAAGACCTCTGAGAGGAAGGTATGATAAACAAGGGGAGTGAAGAACGTCAGATAGAGGGCGGCCGTCAAGTCGACAACACACAGTCCAGCTGAATTTTGGGTGTAATTCAAAAGTCCTGCCCCAATTGATTGTATCATATTCAAAGCAGCTAGGGTTCCGACGTAAATGTAAAAACTTTTCTTTGCTGGAATTTTAATGTCAAGTACTTCATTATAAAATAATTGGGTTTATTCATATATCTTCTGCGGAAAATTCAAGGGACTTGTATTTTTAATATACAACAACTATATATTCAATGTGAAATGAATAATGCTTACTAGGTAGATTTAATCGCTCTCGCAGTCTTGTTCTCGGTAGAATGAGTATGAAAAGATATATAAGTGTGAATACAAGACTGCTGCAAAACCAGAACATCATGCCCCCGTGTCCAAATACGTAAAAGTCTCTGCTTGGGATGTGGAATGTATCATCAGGTAAAACCAATTCGAGTGTACCCTGAGTTATCGTAAACGCTAGGGATATGAGGGAAGTAGCCAGCAGTACTCTCTGAATACTTGAACGGCTATCCAGATGCCCTAAAAGTGTAAAAATACCTTTCTCAATGTCGCTCCAATAAAATCTATTCGATGAGCTTACCAAACGCTAATCCAAAAATGACAACGCTCATCTCTGTGGAGAGGAGAAAAAATCTGACTGTCACCCATAACACTTTGTCAACTTTTCCACCAACATCGGTAGCTGCATTAACTGTCATTGACACCACACACCTTATCACTGATATTACAACGTTACATATAACCAGTCCGTAAAATGCTAGATATATTGGGCTGCTTGTTGCGCGTAACTTGAGCCTAGCACGATTCGATCTCACTATTATGAATAGAAGGAACACCAAATTCGGTATCAGTATCACTAAATCCCATATTCGTACTCTGAAACAATTATATATATAAATTTCTTAATAATCGTAATTAGAATGTGACACCGAAAGTGAATTTGATAAAATTTTGACAACTCTTACAATCAGTATAACCCAAAAATTTTTTATAAATTTCACCTGGAATCTTGAATCTCCTTATATAAAACAAGCTTGCAAAAATGGTCATCATCATCAGAAGATGCATTTGCATTAGGATCTGCGGTTGTCCCCAGATCCAAAGCCTTGCGCCAGGGCTCCGACACCGTCTGTTCACCACCTCCATACATTTTTCTACCTTAACAATTTATCCCAGAACTTGAAATCTCAGGTGAGCATTATATTCCTCAAACTTTCTGCAACACATTCAAGTACTTGATTTGGATAAAGTGCGAAGCTGATTTGCCCGCAATATTTTCTCCACTAATTAAAACCTGCACATTTTTTATCTCTCGCCAATGGCATCACCAACAATCGTAATGAAGAAAAAAAAAACATAACCTCAGAAATAAACGTCAAATAGTTAAACAAATGGTGTGACAGGTTGGATTAAAAATTACCCGCGTCAGTAAAAAAATATCATCCACCATGAAGACGTAATTGACTCCAAAACCATGATTAACACAGTAAATAATAAAGAAAGAGTGAGACTCATGGAAAAATCGATACAGTACGACCTATTGCATTACCCAGCTAGTGAATCTTCCCAGCATGCAGTTTTATAAGCGGAAAAAATGCACCAGTCGCCATAACGCTTTTAGACTAATTAAATAAAATGTTAATGGACTTACTCTGCGCATAGAGACACGCATTATGGTTGAAAACCCAAATATTGCCACAATAATATTATAAAAAATTCAACTATGACGCAGTTTCAAGAATTTTCCCTCTCTCAATTTGTGTCAACTAAGCTGTCAATCAAAGAGGGTTGACTAAAGTAGAGACTCAGTTCTGGGGGTTAAAGTGACCCCAGTGGCGTTGTAGTTCTCACCCCCAGAGAGAGGGGGCGCCACACGGAATGTTGGGGTGGGGGTGTCTGCTCGTCAGTCGTCACCCCCACAACTGAGTCTCTACTTTAGTCAATCCTTTCTGGTATCAACCTCTGATTTTCACCTTCCAGGATACAGCAATCTCCATCCTCAGACTTGGGAGGCTGCGTCCTGACTGTCCTCTAATATTTTGGGACCGTAAAATTGAGAATTGTCAACTGTCACTCGTAGGTTTTGGCTTTACTCGACCCTTCAAATATCGCCACGCAAAATAACTTAACACTGTGTACTTTACTGCAATTACGATAAGTCCAATGCGAATACTCCGATTCATTTCCGTCACTGATTTTGTCTCTTTATCACCATTTTTCCGATGGACTCTTTACTACCCACGATCCATTTGTCTTCTCCCTGTTTGTCCCTGATTTACTCATTCATTCGAAAAAGTTCTCAATTGTGGTGAGACAACTTGGATTTTTTTTTATTTTCTCGTTCGACTGGTAATGCGAATCCAGTAACCCTTTACCAAGAGGGTAAGGCGATTACGCCATCTTTGGGGAATCGATTGATTTAATAAGAAAACTGTATTATCGTCGCTTGATAATGTGGGAGCGTAGTACTGCACCCCAAGAGAGGGAGGGCGCCACACGCAATGCGGGGGTGCCCATGTCAACGGGGTGAATTTTATGTTCTGTGCTATGAATGCTTTTTATTTTTTATTTGTTTAACTGAAATTTAGCCGACTGTAGAACGTCCGGAAGGGGGAAACCACATCTTGTGGAATTTCAATGAAAAAAATTATTCAATATGTTGAAGATATACCACTAATGAA